TGTCGCTAAGCATTTTTTTGACCTTGCTAAGGAAAATTTTTTATGTTGCTAAGCAATTTTTTGACGTTGCTAAGGGATTTTCTTATGCTGCTAAGCAATTTTTTTTATGCTGCTAAGCAATTTTTTTGACGTTGCTAAGGAAATTTTTTATGTTGCTAAGGAATTTTTTTTATGCTGCTAAGCAATTTTTTTGACGTTGCTAAAGAAATTTTTTTATGTTGCTAAGCAATTTTTTTGACGTTGCTAAGAAATTTTTGTCTATGTTGCTAAGCAATTTTTTTGACCTTGCTAAGGGAATTTTTTAATGTCGCTAAGCATTTTTTTGACCTTGCTAAGGAAAATTTTTTATGTTGCTAAGCAATTTTTTGACGTTGCTAAGGGATTTTCTTATGCTGCTAAGCAATTTTTTTGACGCTGCAAGGAAAATTTTTTGACGTTGCTAAGGAAACTTTTTTATGTTGCTAATTATGTTGCTAAGCAATTTTTTCGACGTTGCTAAGGAAAGTTTTTTATGTTGCTAGGGGAATTTGTTAATGTTGCTAAGGAAATTTTTCATAATCATATTCATAATCATATTCATAATCATATTCATAATCATATTCATAATGATATTCATAATCATATTCATAATCATATTCAAAATCATAACCGAAATCATAACCTAAATCATAACCGAAATCATAACCGAAATCATAACCGAAATCATAACCGAAATCATAACCGAAATCATAACCTAAATCATAACCGAAATCATAACCGAAATCATAACCTAAATCATAACCTAAATCATAACCGAAATCATAACCGAAATTATAACCGAAATCATAACCGAAACCATAACCGAAATCATAACCTAAATCATAACCGAAATTATAACCTAAATCATAACCGAAATCATAACCGAAATCATAACCGAAATTATAACCTAAATCATAACCGAAATCATAACCTACATCATAACCGGAATCATAACCTAAATCATAACCGAAATCATAACCGAAATCATAACCTAAATCATAACCGAAATCATAACCGAAATTATAACCGTTGATTGGTGGAGCCAGAATTTCAACAGCCAATCAGAATGCAGGGATGTCACGGAAAATTCCACGGGACGGACTTTTCGAAATTATAATATAGATTTATGCAATTCTTCATGCCTCCAGCATGTTATTACCGTAGCCGCGTTACCTTGGTCAGGCCAGCCGACAAATTTACGGTCGAGCACACCGACGGATGAGGATGAGGTGTTTCACTCTTTTTGACAAAAAAAGCTAGCGGGTTGATTAGACACTTCTTTAAGATATTTCCACATGTTTTTTTTAAACAGAATGCAACACCTCATCCAAATCCCCGTGTACTCGACCGTAAATTTGTCGGCTGGCCTGACCAAGGTTACGTGGCTACGGTAATATTAATACCACTACACACCAGGCTTCTTGACTTGGTCGGCGATTCCCACTTACTCTCCGAGCAACGAGTTCGATTCTCCGACCAAGTCAAGAAGCCTGCTACACACGTAGAACTCCTTAGAATTAGCGATCCATACGGGCAATTATAAACGCCGACCTTAAAAGCAAATTGACTTTTATATTTCATCTGAGGAGACATAGTTGGCAAATATGATGCAACTTGATCACACGCCCAAATCGTGCACATACCTACATTATATGTACATACATATGTATGTATGTATTCATATTACCTGTTAGAATGAAGTAGTTTTTGAGATACATAAGTATATATGTGTATATCTGTATGTTGCCTTTTGTCGCAAATGAAGTATGTGTATGTATGTTTGCGCATTTAAGCATAAACAACAGTGAAAGCATGCAAATTATCAGTGTTTAAATATTTAATTGACATTTTCGCTGAAGTTTGACCCCATTTTTATTGCTCCATAAAAATACTAATAATCAATTTGCCACATCCAATAGTTGGTACCCAGTTGAGCATATGAATAGGTTTTCTGGCTTTGCATGGTTTCCACCACCCCTAAATAAATAGTTAGTGGTACAATATTAGGCAGCGCAGTTAATTAAGTCGTCCTGCTGAGGTAAGAAGTCACTAACTCAGGCTTTTCATTCATTAAGGAATTTCCGCACATTTGTCCCATCTTATAAAAATGATTACAAGTAATTTTCTAAAATATTTTGGCAAAATTATAAACTTTGCGGCATCCTTTAACGCCACAACTTTGAAATATGAGCTGAAATTGGGTTCCGTTCAAGTCAGAAAACTGCGGCCTGGTCAACATTTCATCGTAAATTTTACATTACTGCTACACACGACATACGGAATTTACGATCTAGTCCAATTAGTACTAGCTTTTCGATCGAATTCGCAAGATTTTTATGGCATGATGATAATGCTGGTTTGGGGCCTGGTCTATTTCTGGGCGGCGATTGCACTGTGGAATCTACGCAGCCGGGGGGACGACATGGCGTACACGTTCAATCAACTCGTAAAGTTGGATTTAAAAATGGAAGGTGAGATTAATGGTGAATAAAATTGGGCACATAGTTTTTTATAGGGGGTATTCATTACGAGTTCGTATCTTTAGCAAAGTTGGCAAAAAAAACAAGGTTTGAAAATTCTTCAGCAAAAAAAATGGACCTGACAATCTATTTGCGAACTTGTACATCACCAAGGCTAAATAGTAATTCGCAAATTTGTTTTCAAAATTATATTACGATGCGAAAATCCGAACTTGTAATGGATACCCTCAAAGTTAGCAAAAAAATTTGCTTGAAAATTTATTTACGAACTTGCTCATCACCAAGGCTAGTATTTATGTATGTAGTTCGCTAATTTGTTTCCAAAATTATGTTGCGAACATGCGAACTCGTATGAGTACCCTTAACAATTTTAGGGGAAAATGATTTTAAAAGTTTTAATATTCATTTATCCAGGATCCACAAAGAAACGGGACAGATACAAACTTCTGGAAAAGCTGACATTCGTCATGTCCTTCGTATTCGTGAGTGCATTCATGGTGTGGGCAATTACCCTGTACAAAATACAGGATAAAGACGCCTTCGTATTTTCACTCGTACCGAACTCGTACAAATGGATATGCTTCAATTTTTTCTTTGCATTTGAAGCGTACTCAAAAACCGTGGTATTATTTCATGCAATTTGGGACCAATACTTCCTCATGGCAACGCTGCTAATCCACTCGTATTGGCTGAGGTGTAGAGTGTAAGTTTTTATTTAAGAAATGTGTAATCAAAGTTTTGAAAATTCACCTCTTGGCTACCCATGTTTGGGCAATGATTTTTTATCACTTGACCAATCATTTGTGTACCAGTATAATATCCCTTGGCTACCAAGGTATCTATTTTGGAAATTTTGAGTTCTCCGGAATTTTACAACTTGATAAATTTCAATTTTTTTTAAATCCCCGATTTTATTACACACATTTCTGTAACTGGTACGAAATATAAAACGATGTCTCAAATTTGTATAATTGGTAGTATATTTCGAAAAATAGCACGGTAGTCAAGTGATAAAAAATCGTTACACAAATGTATGTAATTTGGTATACAACTGAATATTTCCGAAAATATACGGTTTGAAATGATTTTATTTTTATCAGCATGTCAAATATTTCGGCTAATCAGACCCAACTTGACGTTGGACGGGACTACACCACTTTTCACGTCCTCTGCAAATACATGAACGCCGCCCATGTCGGGATAAAGACACCGTTCCTTCTCGCTGTGATGTTCTTATTGTTGTGGTCCGGGACTCTTGGTCTGATCCGTTTACCGGGTAGAATTCCGTGGGACTCGTACTTTCTCTTCCCATCTCTTGTCACCAATGGTCATATCATAACTTTGTTAATACTTCTACCTGGTGCATACCAGTACAAACTTGCCGTGAAGTACAGGTCAAAAGTGAGACGGTTAGTAAAAATTGGGATGAGCAGGGAGGACAAAGTTGGACGCAGAATTGCAAAGAGTCTGCAACTGTTCGGATTGGAGTTGACGGAACAAAATTTCGTACAAAATTCGTACATCTTATCGTATTATTTATCTCTTTCGACATATGTTTTATCGGGTTTGGTAGCTTTCCAGTTCTAGAAATGCAGAGCGTGTGAATAATCAATTAAATAAATGATTTAAAACATATTCAGTGTCTGGAGTTGTGTAATTTTTAGTATTTTTTTTCGATTAATAAGCAATTATTAAGTGAATATTATACATAATTACGGCCAATATAACCTTTACTGTTTTTGCAGTATAACAAATTTGTAAATCACGTCCATCCGATTTTTTATGTTCATTTTATTCACCATTATGATTTTCATATTTTATGCACTTATAAGATTTTCATTATCTTAAGCGGTTGTAAAGATAAGCGCTAAGTACAGCTACAGTGGGCTCACAGAATATAGATTCTACCAGAAGAATCGATCTTATGTATTCGAGTGACGCTTATGGAAGAACGGGGAGAGCCAACCAAATAACTCGGTGTACATTTGGCCCACCTGGGGGATGGCACCTCCGCATCATCATCGTCACCACATCTCCTGGCATCAAGAAATGATGATGAAAGCACATAGGTGGCGGTGGCACCCCAATTTGTGCACCAGAACACACCCTCGTAGAGCATCAAATTTGTGGAGACGCAGCTCAGAAATTCTGAGCTGAGTCAGAATTGTGTGTTCTGGTGCACAAATCGGGGTGCCACCGCCACCTATGCGCTTTCATCATCATTTTTTGATGCGAGGAGATGTGGTGATGATGATGATGCGGAGGTGCCATCCCCCAGGTGGGCCAAATGTACACCGAGTTATTTGGTTGGCTCTCCCCGTTCTTCCATAAGCGTCACTCGAATACATAAGATCGATTCTTCTGGTAGAATCTATATTCTGTGCAGTGGGCTCAGTACATAAGCTTTGGTGGACCAAACTTGCCCTCGGCTTTCGTATAATCAACGTTTACATATTTACCCGGATTCTCGGAATAATTCGGATCAATATTAAACAAATGTTTCACAACACCGTTGAAACGAGAAGACATGACGATTTTCTTACGTACTTTTGCATACATACGTCTCTTTCTTCTCACCTCGTACATAAAGTCAAGAATACGGATCGGATTTTCAGTTCTTAATTTGGAAGCGGCACGAAAACGTCTACACATTTTTCAAGTCTAATCTCTCCTTTAATTTATAAAATTTCTATTAAAACATATACTTGCAAAATTATCACGAATTAAAATGTCTACCTGGGAAAATTACTCTCCAGAGGTGAGCTAAGTCAATATCTGTAGTTATGTAATCATAATTATACTGTTAGATACAAATCTGGTAGAGTTACATATTGGTATTAATTTGGTAGTAATTTCCTACCAGATTGGTAGTAGTTTGTTTCTAAGAGGTAAATATTTCATTACCACCACGGTACTACGAAAGCCGTAACGCTCATTATTAAGATGCCGGTAATGATTTAATACCAGTTATGTAATCAAGAGTGCGCATTTACATGCATGCATGCTAAATATTAATTGTATCATGATATGATTAAAAACCCTGTTTATGTAGGAGCTAATAAAGCAAATGTCTGTCAGCCACTGGACTCCGGACAGAACGCCGGAAGAAGTTATGAATCAACACATACAAAATTCACTCTCAGGTAATAAGAAAAATATTTACAGAGAGTTGTACATTTATTCATGGAGTTATGTACAAGTGGGGACAACGTGCCCATACATAAATATGTACTATTTTTAGAAACAAAATCGGCCAGAGATACGATTAGTAACAAGCTTGGAATTGCGTATGGTGAAGAAGCTACCCAAATATTTGACGAGTACGGCACCGAGTTGAAGGACGACGCTCTGATTTTCTTTTGGATTCATGGCGGATATTGGCAAGGTTTGTGATACATAGTTAAAAAATTGGCGAGAAAATTAAAAATTACGTAAAATATGTATGAATAATTAATGAATGTGTAGAGGGTACCAAAGAAATTGCTGGACATATGGCACCAAATCTTGTAGCTCGAGGCGTGAGAAATGTCGTTGTGGAGTATTCTCTGGCACCTAAAGGTGATTACTTACTTAAATATACAAATTATACACAGTCAACTATGCATTTAACATGCTAATTACTGGGGTATTGCATATGTATTTGCAGTGAAAGTTGCTGAAATACAGGAAGAAATCATCCAAGCTCTTCGGAAGGTTGGGGAAATGTTTCCCAAGGCAAAAATAGTAGTTGGAGGTGGGTAATTTTTAACATTTGTGATATAAACACTGGTAGAAATCTGATAAAGTCACTCAGGTATTGATTTCTCGGTATTAAACTTGCTACCACTTGGTAAAATTATACCGGTCCGAAAAATTGTCTACCAAAATGGTAAAACTTTAAAAGCAGGCTATTAATTACCACACGGTGTATTACTATTAATACCACTTTGGTATAGCTCTATATAAATACCACCTGGTATTATTTTAATACTGGATTTCTAAGAGCGTAATGTGATCACAATCAATCTACCTGCTTTGACCCCAGGTCACTCTGCCGGTGGTCAACTAGCCGCGATGCTGCTTCACAACAAGTCACTGGATCCGATTATCTGTGAAAAGATTGCCGGCTTGGTTTTCTCGTCGGGAGTATTCGATTTACGACCACTGGTAGCGACACCGTTAAATATTGCGCTTGGATTGACTATGTAATTATTTCACATTCATATTTTTACTGAAGACACGTAAAATATTTTGTTATATTTATTTAAATAGTGAGACGGCGGAAGCAAGCAGTCCCTTAATTCTGAAGGAAATTCATTCCCATTTTCTCAGCAAAAAGGAAACTTTTCCCATTTTGGTAATAGTTGGAGAGTATGACTCGAACGAATTTAAACGCCAATCCGAAGAGTACCAGAAGCTCTTGCAGGCCTCATTCCCATGCGCGGAAGTTGTCACGATTGAAAAAGAAGACCATTTCACAGTGGTAGAAAAATTGTCACAGAAAGATTCATTGGCTGGAATTGAGCTGGGAAAATTTCTGGATAAATTTGTGTAAAATGATGACGAAATTTGGTTAACTGAAGAAGTTTGCTATTTTGAAAGGAGATAATCATTGCATAAATTTCAAAATTCCTAATCATAATTAGATGAAACATGATGAAATTAAATTTATGAAGAGCCTTGCTATTTTTAAAGATTACTTTGCAAATAATTATTGCGTATAAAAAATTCCAAAATTCATAAAAATGTCTAGTTGAAACATGATGAGAATAAATTTAGCAAGCTAGAGCCCTTATAGCCTATTTGCTATTTTCAAAATATATATGAACTTATTTATGAATGTCTTTATTATTCTGGAAATAATAATTGTATATTAAATATTTATATTGTTTGTTGGTAATAAACAGCAAAATCGCGAGAAGAAATCAATTTATTGAAAAATAAATCCTTTATACTCATTTTCCTCGCATTCTTTCAAAGCTTTAGCATAACTTGGAATTCCTCCAGCATAATTCAGGGGCTCGCGTGGTTTTCCCGGAATGTTGGCCCCGTCGTACCAGCTGCCCGTTTCCGGAAATAGAGTCGAATTCCAAATTCCCCTCACAATTTCGCCCCAAACATTTTCTGCCTCGACAGAAGCATCCACACGTTTCAGGTTTTCCTTTTCCATTTTTCCAATTAAGCGAGTCAGCCACTCGCCTTGCACTTCGCAGCAGGTGGGAGCGTTCGAAAAAGCGGTGGGGGCTTGGGGTCCGTAGAGGAAAAACATGTTGGAAAATCCGGAACAAGTTATGCCCAGCTGGGTGGACGTACCTTGACCCCATTTGGATTGGATGGATTGGCCAGAACCGTTTTCAATCTGGATGTTGAGGATTCCTCCTGAAGGGGAAAATAAAATTTTAAGATTTATTAAAAAATAACACTGAACAAACTATGCAAAATAAAATACTCAAGTCCAATTTTTTAAGAATTTTTTCAAGACCATGAAGTAAATACTTAATTCCCTTGGTAGTACTGCAAAAAAATCCGTAAATTCTGTAAACATACAAACTGTTACAAAATTTTGCAAATAAGTATTTCCATATGGAAAATTAGCATACAAATTTTTGCAATCTTACTCAGATCAAGGGCTTCTTTTCATTTTGTAAAAGTTCGTAAAATCATTCTACAAAATTTACGGATTTTACAAGGTACAATGGCAAATGTGTAAATTGCTTCAATGTCAGATAATAGTCAAAAACTCAATAACCCTGAGGTTGATATTGCGGGCGTGACAAAGGGATTAATTTGGATAATCATATTATTTACCAACCTACGTTGACGTACATACGTAATAAAACCCACAAGGTTTTTTATCCTTATCGATATTTACTAATTTACTTTTATTACCGGTAATGCCGTCAAATCCCGTCGCAAAAACGATTACATCAAACTCCGTCTCCCCTCCATTCTCCGTCCTTATTCCATTCTTCGTAATTTCAAGGATTGGATCCTTCCTGATATCGACGACATCCACGTTGTCCTTGTTAAAGACTTCATAGTAATTCTGCTCCAGGGAGGGTCTCTTCGTCCCGAAAGCGTGCGGGGGGACAAGCGGGGCTAAAATGTCCTTCTTCCTCTCATCCTGAATCCTTTCTCGCGTTTTCTCCGCCCAAAATTGGTACGCCGTCGCGTTGGCGTCCTTATTGAAAAGTACGTCTTGATAGCTTCCCACCCAAAAGGGAAAGCCCCCCTTGGACCAGAGCTTCTCATAAAGCGCTCTCCTCTCTTCTTGGTTATCATCAAGTGCATTTCTTGGAATCGAGTCGTAATCAATTCCCGCATAATTGTTCCTGGTTTCTTTATAAATGGCGGGAAAATCCGACTTTTTGGGCAGATTTGTGCTCCCCTGGACCAAACATTGCTTCATGGGAAGGGCAAGGTTCGGAGTTCGCTGATATACGACCAGCTTTCCGTCCGTGTTCAACTTGTGACCCAATTCTTGGACGACTTGGACTCCGCTGGCGCCCGTGCCGATGACGGCGATTTGCTTGCTGCCAAATTGAGAGGCATTTTGTTCCCCTTCCCAGCGAGAAGTGTGGTAAACTGTGCCCTTGAACTTGTCCAGGCCGGGGATTTTGGGGACGTGGAGTTTCCAAGCGGAACCCGTGCAGAGGATGAAGTACTTTGCCGAAACTTTGGAGTTGGCGTTAGTTTGGGTGTTGGAGCAGTTGATGAGCCATTTGTTATCGTCGGGGTGGAATTTGGCGGATTCGACGGTCGTATTGAATTGGATGTCTTTGCTGAGATCGAGTTTTTCATCCAAGTGGCGGAAGTACCGGAGGACTTCGTCCCTGCTGGGAAATCTCTCGGTGTAGTCGAAGTCCTCGTACAAGTTTGGCGAGGTGAACTGCACGGCGGAAAAAATATTTTAATGTGATTTGATTAAATAATTAATTAAGTAACTAATTGTTAAAAAACCCACATATGTACTATATGGGTTTAATTTAATTTGATGGTATTTTAACTGTAGCAAAATATCTGTCATGAACTAACAGAAGGTTGTAATTAAAAATTATAATAAAAAATTTGCAAAATCTGAAATATTTCTAGCTTATTTACTGATTTCACAAACTTTTCAAGTTATGCTCAATTTGCGAGATATGCAAAAAAAAGTCAATGTCAGAAAAAAATGCACAGAATTATGCATATTTACATACCTGGTAAACGTAAAACTCGGTGTCCACCCTTGCTCCTGGATACCTATTCCAATGCCAAGTGCCTCCAATGTCGCTCCCAGTCTCGAACACGGTAACCTTCAGTCCTTCGGAACGCAACTTGTCGAGCATGAAAAGCCCAGAGAAACCGGAGCCGACGATGACTGCATCGTAATATTCTGACGCCAGATTTTTTTCAATGGAGGAAGAGCCCATTTTGGAGTTTAGAAAAATCTAAAATTGTAAATTCGAAATGTATTTTATTACACAAAAATCAGAAATTTAATTTCAAAAAATTTTACTAGCATACCTTAAATGCGTGTTGATTGAAGTTGGTGTAGGTAATGAGTACGTTGGGTTGGTCAGGAATTGGCTTAAATAGAGATTATCTGAGAGCATGCATCTGCACTTAACCCAACGTACATTTGTGTATATGTCTGTATTGCAGCATTTTCAGCCATCATCTCTCATGAAACAATGAATGCATCATGACGGATGCATGAATCACAAGGGTTACCTTGATGGTGTGTGACTTGAGGTGTTCATGACATTTCATGAAAACCTGTGAAAGCAGCAAGATGAGTAACACAAGTGGTAATATTTTTTCGTACTCTATTCTAGGGATGCACCGAGTGGTGAAAAATAAGACTCGGCCGAGCACCGAGTACCGAGCAATAAAAAAATCGAGCAAATTCTAATAACAATGCATACCTCCCAGCGTATTTTACCTCATTTTGACGGCGTTAATGTAAATTGATGTCTAATATGATTAATACATAAAATTTGCGAAGGCGCTACAATTATGAGGACAGGTTTGGCGGACATATCTGCATACAAAGTGGTGAAAACGCGGGCTGAAGTTAACAAATTATACAATTTTCTAATTCACTGCTCGTTTTTTGTTTTTGGAAGCAGATATCTTTGCCATTTTCAGTATTAGGAGATACTGATTTTTGAAAATGCTATATTATCCAAATATGTGATCGATTTAAATTGATTTGGTCAAAATAACAGAGCATACGCTGGGTGATATCCAATGCTAGTACTAGGGTTGCCCCGGGTACCGGGTAGTTACCCGGTACCCGGCATACCCGGCCTGTTTTGGGATACCCGGTACCCGGCTGGGTACACTTAACTACCCGGTCTACCCGGCCGGGTAATTTAAATGTTCAATTTTTTTGTAAAACCTTATAAAAAATTATAATCATATGGATTCCATTTTTGTGCTTGGCATAAAATTCTTTCAAAATATTATTTTGAAAGAATGCGTAAAATCTGGGCCAATTCTTAGGTGGAAATTATTATCCAGATTTTAAAATTCCCTTGGGTGCACTCACGTCAACCCTTGCATATCTCGCACATGAAGCATCGCAACATAACTTGTGATGCTTTACGAAACTTGAGACATTTCTCAAAACTTTTGTTAAAAACAATTGGTGTTTCAAATTTATCCAGCAATTGCGCACGCTATAATTTCGCAAACTGTTCCTCCCGATTATCAGCGAGAAACAATGCAAAAATTCATGAAAACTAGATCAAAATAGGCATCTTTAATATAGCTGCGAGACTTTCGAAGTGATATTTTGCGCAAATTTTTTGAGCTTCACAAGTTTGCTCAATGAGTGGCGATGATAAATAAGACATCGCCGTGAGTTTGTACGCTCTATGTATGCCCCACATAATGTTTTCATCCATGACCCCTACAGATTTTTTTGCAAATATGCATTACTTTTATCTGAAGTTTGATATTGAGGTTAAGAATAACTTATGCTTAACAGATATAATTTGACAAGTCCAAGATTTTAAAGACGTTAGCCTTATCTCTCCTAGCAGTTTCAGTCAAGTTGAAGGATTAGTAAATACATTAAAAATTGGGTGGCAAGTACATGCAGATGGTCCTGTTAAATCGGACACAAATTTAGAATACGACTTTGTCCCTGACTCAGCCTAAATGAAGTCTGTACTGCATGCTTTTAACTTTTAATTTTTTAAACTTGTAAAATTGTTCCAAATTCTAGAGAAAAGTAGAATAATTCTCGTTATTTTTCTATATATAAAGATTACCCGGTACCCGTCCGGGTAGCCGGGTACCCGGCGAAATTTTAGGCCGAGTACCGGGTAGCCGGGTACCGGGTAGTGCCACTACCCGGGGCAACCCTAGCTAGTACAATACAAAAAATTCATTAACTTCGTCGTCGCTAATTAATTTCAACTTAGAATACGCCAGAATGTTACGAAGTATATTTTGCAAAACCCAAAATCCAAGAAAACTTCATTAAATCAGTTTCATGGACAAGATAATTTGTTAAAAAATGACCAAAAAATGAAGAAAATACTCGGCCGAGTGGGAGACAATACTCGGCCGAGTCCGAGTAGTAAAAATACACGCCGAGTCGGTCGAGTACTCGGCCTGGCCAAGTACTCGGTGCATCCCTACTCTATTCCACGTCATACTAATCTCGTGATTAACCTGCTCATGAAAATAAGAATTCCTGTAATAAGACATCATCCGATAAGCTGGATTTACATAATATGTAAATCCTACATATATATGTACATAGATACATCGTTTAGCTTTTTTTAAAAAATATTTAAAATGTAATAATGGATACTCTGGGATACAAGATTACGTGCATATACAATAAAATCATATAAATTGGTATTTGCGTATATTATGTATGTATGTAGTTCATTATTTAATAACTTATATAATTTTGCTTAAAACGTTTCGATCCCCACTTAAAGAGGATAATGACGTCATAAATACTTTGCTAATGCAGATAATCTTGATGCAGATTTCCTAAGCAAAAGTCATCAAGAGCAATAAAAAGAAGGTTTTATGAAACCTACACTCTGCCAATGCGTTAATCTGCATGCACATATTTTTACACGCTATTTCATCCCTTACACAACCTATGCATTTATTCACTTAACGAATTAGTCATGTCTTGTCTCATGTGCAAATGCAAAATGTATGCAAATCCCAACCCAATGACTGACCAATCCGCGTGAGTCTACCTTATAACCCATGCGAATAAACTACTTTCTACGTAAGAGTACCATATCCGAATCTACTAAAAAAGATCGTACGATTGATGTGCAGAATTCTCATGAAGAATTTTTCATGAAAATTAAACACGTGCATTTCCGGAAAGATAAGTAAGACAAAAGTGGCCTACTAGTCCACGTCAGTTCTAAATTAGTCATGGAATTTTGGCTGCGGTCTGCTAAAAATACTATCGAATTGTAACGTTGTGGTCACAATTGCACGAAACTATACCTGGTCATGAAATTTTGGCTACGACCTATAAAACTATACTGTCGAGTTGCGTTGTGGTCAATAGTACGCGAAATTAGAGAGTGCAAAGAACAAGGCAAGAATTCCCTGCAATAAGTAGAGCAAAGTCGAAAATGTTGTGGGAATGCGTTAGCATCCTGGCGTTTGCCGGAATTTCTGTGATTTTAATTTTGGAAGTTTTTAGAAGACCGAAAAATTTTCCACCTGGTAACTCATAATTTTTTTAAACACGAACAAAAGAAATATCAATTATTTATTATGGGGGTACTCACGACAACGACTTATCTATCTTTGTAAATTATTTAGCAAATTTTAGAAGCTCAAAAACAGTTGCAGAGTGAGAGGATTCGAAAACATCTAATTTCTCAAATTGCATAAAACTACTAAAAAGGCCAATTATATTTTGATTTAGTTTCTGTGGGTTATCTATAATTTGTATTGATTTTGATGGAGATAAGTATGCGACATTATTTTGATAGATAACAACATGTCCAGTTGTTGGGTGAATTTGACAAATATAAAATTTATTTTTACCAAATTCTGGAATTTATTTAATAAATTCCATAATTTTGCAGCAAAACGTTTTTCTAGATTTCGCAATGCTCAATTTGCTAGTAATGATTGTCGTGAGTACGCCGGGCATGTATGTAGTTTGAGCAAACTTTATTTAATACGTCGTCATATTTTCTTAGGTCCATCGCGAATTTGGTCGACGATGGCGCAATTTAAGAAAAATCCGTTGGGGGCTTTGATGCTCTGTAAAGAAAAGTATGGACCTGTCGTTGGCCTCAAAATAGGAGAATTTCGGTAAATATTTCCCATTTTACTTTCATATTGCTACATAAGAATTTACAATTCCACTGTATTTTATTAATGTTCGAATTTAACTCATGGAACAGGATTCTTAAAATAATTTTTTAAAATTCAGCTAAACTATCGGTAAAAAAAAATTAGAATTTCATAAAATCGAGAACATATTTTAAAGAAGCAGACATATTTTCAAGTGACACCAGAATTCAAAAACTTTGTAGTGCTATAAAATAAATTTGAAAATGTTCGCCTCACGGTTAAATTCTCATTTTAAGACAAATACAAAAAATATGTACGCTTACGAGACCCTGATCTACATAAATAAAATTGTTCCTGCGGAAACTTGAGTGTGCCCGGTAACAAGTTATCATATGAATCACACTATATGATAGGGTGTTACCAGCGGTACATTCTGAGAAGGATATGACAAATCGCATTTGTCATTGTCAATGTCATCGTATTTATCCATCTTCATGTCAACAAGGCAACGGAAATAGGATAAAAATGAAACTTTAATATACATTGACTATGCATAATTTGGCACACATTTTTACCATTGTTACCATTTGAAACTTTATTCTTTTTTAAATATGTATGTACATATGTATGTATCCATCTAGAGTTGTGATTTTAAACGACCCTGCCGACATCACGAAAGCATTTGGAAACAAGTCTTTGAACTCTCGACCACCTTTCTTACCTGCAATGATTTACGTGGGGGGAGAAAATCATGGTAAGCGAATAAAATAACGAAATACGGCCACATTTATTTTTATACGCATATAAGCTTAATCTTCTACCCAAATTCTTAAAACCTGAGCACTGACAAGTAGGTAAATAGATACATATTTACATACATAGATACATAACCTTAATTACTGCTCTCGTAATGATTTAATATGAATAACAACATGTAGTAATTGGTAGTAATTGGTGAAATAATCCCACTGTGGGATTTCCACAGTTGAAAATATTCAGCGCTTCGTAAAACCGATTTCGAAATATTACTGAAACTGAGCAGTCAAAAAATGACTGTGATGGCTGAGTCGTAAATCCGTGCCAATTTTTTTATCCTTTATCGTGACATAATTTTAGTTGACATAAATTTAACTGTAGTTTTAGAATTTATAATTCTTTTAATTTCCCAGGTACCCTAACATCCTCCGACGAAGTTTGGAAGGCAGTTAGGAATTGCATGGTGAAAAGTATGGGCAGCCTGCACACCAGCCCAATTAATGGCGAAGCGTCCCTCACCTTATCCCACGATATGGAACCCCTCAAAGAATTGCTGGAACGTCTGAGTAACCCAGTTTCCAAGGAAAAACTTTCCCTGGCGGAATTAAGGAGCAAATTATACATTCCGATCGCCAATCACGTCTGGCACGTTCTCACGGGTGAGGAAATACCGGAAGAAAATAAGGCTGGGTTACAACAGCAGCTAGTAGCTTTACAGAAGTAAGCCACATTTTAATGAGGGTACTCATTACGAGTTCACATTATTAGCAAAGAACAAAGTTCGCAGAAAAATTTGGTTTGCAAATTAATTTGCGAACTTGAGCATCTCCAAAGATAGTACTTATGTAGTTCACTCGTAATGAATACCCCGAATATATTTCAAAATTGTATGCTTTTAATTTGTTAAACAGAGTAGGAAATTTTATAATTTTGCATTTTTTTGCAGAGCCCTGTGGCAGCCGATATCATCGCCAGTTTGGTTTTTACCCACGTCCGCGAAGCGATTGCCCTCAACGAGGACGCTTTTGCAAGAAATCAAAAAAGCGGTAGACCCCTTGCACGCGATGGTGGAGGAAATGGTGCAAGAAACTCAGAAAAATGGAGACGATGATAGTAAAACATTTTCCCAGGCATTCTTAAGAGGGTGTCGTTCGTACCCTTGTCTTAGAGGATATGAAGGTATGTAATTAAGTAGAAAACTATTGCAAATTTCCTCATAAAACAAATAATTGTATCACACCCCATCTTTTTAGCCGTCCACTTGAAAGGAGCATTCTTCACACTGTGGCACACGGCCGCCGAGACGGTAGGAAATCTCATGGCGTGGACGATCCTTTGGCTTTCCCTGTATCCAGAAGTGCAGAGAAAACTTGCACAAGAGCTGGGACAGACTGATATTCTAGATTTGATGAGGTATGTAAAATGTTTTCTGCGCCGTTAGAAATCTGGTATAGGCAGATATTAATTTCTCAGTATTAAATTTGGTACCACAAGGTATTAAAATTATACCGGTCCGTAAAAATTTGCTACCGCTATGGTAAAACTGAACTATTACTACATGGTATTACTTACTATACCATTTGGGTAGAGTCATTTGAGAATACCGTTTGGTATCATTTTAATACTCGTTTTCTAAGAGTATGTATAGAAACTTAAGGCTTTGAGGTTCTTTAAGCCTCGTCTGGTGAAACGGAATGCTAATTAAGTAATTTTTCTAAAAAATACAAATCTGACAAGCTGTTCTGATGTTTCCACTAGATTTGAAATGATAAAGTTGATTAGGTAAAAGAAAATTGTGTTTTGTGTGACATAACTTATTCCATTTTTGTAGCCTGCCCTACGCCCGTGCCGTGATTCAAGAAGTCCTCCGACTTTCGAGTACTGCCCCCTTTGCAAATTTCCACTGGAGCGTGGAAGACTACAAACTTGGTAACGGGATGGTCATTCCAAAGGGTACGGTTGTTATCGGAAACCTCTTTGGGGTCCATCACGACCCCTCTGTTTGGCCAGATGTGGAAGTTTTTCGCCCAGAAAGATTTCTGGAAAATGAAGGAGGGGAAGAAAATCGGGCGAAAGTTTTGCTTCCCTTTTCCGCTGGATTGAGGACATGTCCTGGCCAGAATTTTGCCAGGAATTTTATCCTCTACGCCTTGTCGCAAGTACTGAAAGATTTCCAATTCAGTTGGGATCCACAACAAGCAAGACCAACTCCGGAAGAAATCATGGATAAATCGCTAGTCAGTATTTTTCGTTTTGTCCCAGATTTTAAGATAGTTGTCAGGAAGCGAGAAGAGTAAAGTGGTTGCGAGAGGTATTTCATTCCAGTTGTGATTTAGAAAGGTGTTTATGCATGAATTTTGCGTTGTTTTTTACAATTTTTTTTCCATTATTAAGGATAAACTTGAAATAACATTTATTTAATAAATTAAAAAATTGTAAAATTGAAAATCATAAAACTAACTTTCGTCGGATTTTTACTGGGCGCAATTATTCTTAAAACTAATTTGGACTAAGATGTTTTGCAAGTTGTTTCCAATTTTGGGACCAGTTTGGCAAATATGAACAAATATCTAGTTGAATTTATCAAAATAACTGCATTTCTTCCCTTATTTATTCCACCCTTGACATTTGGAACTGTCATAGATGTGTAGGTAGATGGTAGATCTACACCAAATTTGCATTATGCTTATTATGCATATAAAATTCGAACGTTTAAAATATTTTCACATTTCAGTATTTCAGCAAATCGCATAATCGTTTACAAAATTACGATAAATTATGGAGAACCATTCATACATATTTAAGTACCTTCCAATTTTAGTAACAACTGGAAAAAACTTGCACACAGTGGAAATATTTAGGTTAATTCTGGTAATCCGTAATATTAAAAAAATAATGCAAATCATGAATTATAAGCTTTAAAGTACTTGCCTAATTACGAAAATCCGCCGTGTTTGAGCACATTCGGAGTACATATACATATGTATGCAATTAGCGGAGAAATTATTACAATTATTACAATTAGTATAATACATATTTGACTAGCATACATACATTTTGGTTGTGCAAAGTTAAATTATACTTGTCACATAATTACTGACCTGATCGTATACATATGTACATGTGGAACCAACCGATTTCCTAGAACCCTAAAAACCTTAAAATATCTATTGAGGGACCGAACAAGATGAATATCATAGGTTTTCTGAACGTTTTGACTCTTTCATCGTGGGGTGACCTGCTCATGTACATACATATGTAATTACCTATGTACAATGTACATATATACATATGTATGTATCACATACTAGCTTATACTTATTGTCAGTACAGGATGCATAGAACCTTGACCCTTACCCTCATCTGAAACCTGTCATACTTTGTGCACCGTCTCTTGTACAAATGCATTGCGTATATCCTGTCCGTTTAACAATACCATCCCAAATCCAGACAGAACAGAATGACATCATGGAAAATGGTGAAAGAAAATGTGGAAATATTTGTACTTGAATTTCCACAAAACTCAATGGAAAATATCCTAAAAATTCTCCACCTCCGATCTCACACCCCTCAAGACGCCCTACAAAGATTTGCTGCCCTGACGCACTCGTTTTATCCGCAGTACATATCGTGGCATCCGATGTCCTGCGTGCCATTCGCCACACCCAAGAAACACCTCGTCACGTGGTACTTCTTCTCAATAAGTGTCCTCCTTGGCACGGTCATCATTACATGCAAAATACTTCGAGAAATTATCTCGTCCGAGAAGGACATCGACGTGACGATTCAATCCGCAGCCTTGCTTGCAATCGGGGTCACGTTAGGAATCATTATTTCAACCACAATTTTCACCTTCGTCTACAAAACGGAAGAGTTTTGCTTTGTCTCTAGAAATTTATTGGACCTGAATGAATCGCTTGTTCAGAAAGGTAACAGGAACCCAACATTAATGGGCTATTAATGGGCTAAAAAAACAGATTTCTATAATTTTTATAAATATTTGGTTAAAAATTATTTCCGCTATTGTTATCCTCAAAAAAGTGCGTTTTTAGCAAACAAATTTGACCTGCAAATCCACGCAAATAACACATTTTCTTGTTTATTTATACCATTTTTATTAACTAATTAATTATTAATTACAGATCCTGACATTGACAAAATTAACTTTATTGGATTACTTCTTCACGGCTTAATTGGACTATCGATCATTTCCCCCTTCATGGTCTCCACTTTTCCCCTCTTTCATAGGAAGATTGACCCAACTTATTTTTTGTTTCGAAAAATCCCATGGTTTACACCCAAATTAAAAATATTTTTGAGAATTGTTCTCTTATTTTGGTTATCCCTCCACAGCGCAATTCTCCTTCTTACGTACTTACTCTCTTTCTACAACTGGGTGGCCTCAATTAGGGCAATTTTAGAGTCAATGACCTACAAAAAGCAGAAAATTGGAACGTTTTTGGTTAAAAAGTCTCCACAATTTTCAAAAGTTGTAAAATTTCCAGCCTTCTTTGCCAGATATCGGGGACTGCAACTAATTGTGGCGGTGTGTAACCAAGTAATTTATTTTATAACGCCCATCGGGATGTTCCTCTTCTTCCAGTGTGCCGTTGCACTTTGCTACCTTTTGGTCAGGATGTCCGAAATTGTCCCAATTTCCCTAACTTTTCAAGCTGTAGTCATGCTATGCGCGATAATTGGAATGACGCACAAAATGCCGCCCTTAATGGCAAATATTGCAACGTGGTCAATAGAGTTTGTCCAGGTTTGGAGGCAAATTCACCTGCCGAAAGATCGGGTCAAACAGTTGGACAGTTTTGCAAGTTTGAAAATCTATATCGGACCATTTTGTCCAATTACGAAGAAATTTAGGGTAGATTTTTATTCCGCACTTGTCTACTACACTGCGTCTTTGCTAATTTCTGTGTGAATAAATTGTTTATCCGGATATTAATAGTGCTTATGCTTATGGATTTTTAATTGTAAAAAATCCCAAAACTTGTCCGAGAAACTTTAATGCAAAAAATAAACATTTGAAAAATAATGAAAAATAAGTATTCAAGTATGTGTACATAACAATAAATATTTTCTGATTTATGTATGAAATTGCTTGTAACGAAGGTAAATTTTTTTTAATGTGTAGCCAGAACTTCTTTACTTTATTCTAAATAATTCTTATACTTACGAGCATAACAGTTTTCGAAAATGTTTAAATGTTATACACTTATAAACAGTTTTGAAAATAAAATTTTATTTCTAATGATTTTTGCTCTCCGACCTTAATTAATACATTGCCGGCACATACATATTTATATTTTTGGGATGCATTTTTTTACAAGACAGTTTTGCAGAATGTGTATGCATAAATAGTTTCTCACATATTAATTTCTTACCAAGAAACAAATACGATTCCGACGTCGAGGATTGACAATGCAATAAAAGTTGTCATTTATTCCCATCTTCCCCAAGAGATTTATTTTCTCTTTGTCTCATACCATTTTTCCTTTGTCTCATGCCGCTTTGGCTGTTTAGCTAGTACGTCACGATTTTCGTCACTTCTTTTATGAGCTTATCGTGTCAATTATAATATTAAATTTGAGTTTACGTAGTTTTAGGCTTAAAAGAAGAAATATGTTGCTTTTCTACTTTGTTCGTAATGGATGAAGCATCCCTTTGGCGGTGATGCATCTCGTCCAGGTGGGAAGTCGGCCAGTTTCTTTACTTTCCTTTCTTTATTCCTTCCTTGTCTGGTTGTGGTGCCGGTTCAGCTTTTTATGAATTTTTTTGTATCTTGGGAATTATAAATTTTAAATCTAGTTTAATAAAACAAAATAGGAAGCAAGTTGAAGTAGAGAGTAAAATATGTACGAGGTTTAGAGACACCAATGCAAATTTGTGACTTTTAAATTCTGTTAAACAGGTGAGAAATTTTGCTTTATTTTTTACTTAATAACAATTTGTTATTAACAAATCGTAAATACGTGGATTACGCAATATTGTGTAAATTAAAATAACGGCATTTTAGTAGTAATCTGTAATTTACGTGGAATGGTTCTGATTTCTTGAATGACGAAGCTCAATTTCAGTTTTAATAGATATTTATATTCCACGTCTGAAGTTCTTCTATTTTAAAATTTTCGTAATATATTTTTTCCCATTTAGGATCACCCCGTCCTTGCGATCAATTACATTTAATATGTCGAGATCACAACATCCCGATAAGGGGGGGCCTTCGTCGTCTTCGTCATCCTCATCAAAAAAGAAGGGGGCGAGTTCCCAAGAAAGCAAGAAAGTGGAGCCCCCAAAAAAGAAGGAGGTGAGTTCCCAAGAAAGCAAGAAAGTAGAGCCCCAAAAAAAGGAGGGGGCGAGTTCCCAAGAAAGCAAGAAAGTCGAGCCCCCAAAAAAGGAGGGGGCGAGTTCCCAAGAAAGTAAAAAAGTTGAGCCCCAAAAAAAGAAGGAGGTGAGTTCCCAAGAAAGCAAGAAAGTAGAGCCCCAAAAAAAGGAGGGGGCGAGTTCCCAAGAAAGCAAGAAAGTAGAGCCCCAAAAAAAGGAGGGGGCGAGTTCCCAAGAAAGTAAAAAAGTTGAGCCCCAAAAAAAGAAGGAGGTGAGTTCCCAAGAAAGCAAGAAAGTAGAGCCCCAAAAAAAGGAGGGGGCGAGTTCCCAAGAAAGCAAGAAAGTAGAGCCCCAAAAAAAGGAGGGGGCGAGTTCCCAAGAAAGCAAGAAAATGGAGCCCCCAAAAAATGAAGGGGCGAGTTGTTCCCAAGAAAGCAAAAAAGTGGAGCCCCCAAAAAAGAAGGAGACAAGTTCCCAAGAAAGCAAGCCAGTGGAGCCCCCAAAAAATGAAGGGGCGAGTTTTCAAGAAACCAAGAAAGTGGAGCCCCCAAGAAATGAAGGGGCGAGTTCCCAAGAAAGCAAGAAAGTGGAGCCCCCAAGAAATGAAGGGGCGAGTTCCCAAGAAAGCAAGAAAGTGGAGCCCCCAAAAAATGAGTTCACCTTGCCGAAAATGGAGGAAGAATTGGACCTCCTTGACTACGTTCTCCGAGCCATCGGTGTCCTCCAAGCTATCCAACATATCGGAAATGTCCGCTTCCTTCAGACAAATCAGGATGCGTACAATAATAAAATCGACGTTCTTCTCAACCTTGAACCAATAGGAAGCAGGATAGTAAAATATTCAGATCTGCCAAAAAAACTTTGGGAGTAAGTTTTTTGTTTTTAACTTTTGGCTGATTGTTTTTATAGGCACCTTAATTTCGTACAATTACAAAAGTAACTTGTTAAAATAGGGATTATCGTATCGTGAAAATCTACACTGACGATTTCATTTCTCTCGGCGGCAGCACCAACCCGCTCATCCCATTGCCCCCTCCGGAAAAGTGGAAAGCGGTGAAAATATACGACACTATCCGAACCATGTGGTCATTCATGCAGGTGTGGAATTTAAAGGACGAAGCGAGGCAGGACTACCAAGCTTCGTCGTTCCTTGACCTTCCAATTATGAGTACCGAACTGAGGGAGGCCGTTTATTGGGTGCTGACCTTCATCGATAAGTCGAGATCACTTATTGCCGGGATTTTAGAAAGTGCGGCTGCCCTGGAGAAGGCGGGCGTCAAATATTGGGTGCTTCCCAACAGGCAAAGGGTATATTATTTAATACACAATTACATACAAATGTCATACATATTCACAATTGTAATAAATATGTCTCAGGTTCCGGTCGGATCTCTGCGAGCCACAATTTTTGAAACGGTTCCATCCTACGTGTTCAGCGTTTCTATGCAAATTTATAATGATAAGGAAAAATTCGACAAAGCAAAGGGTATGCCTTACATGGGGGTTGGTGGCGTGGTGAGAAGGAATCACGTGGCTACTCTGGTGAATACAAAAGAAAAGGGAAAGCAATTGGTGATTCGTCACCACGTCCTCTCCGCCCTACTGCCGGACGGCTCGGCGTACATTGTGGATCCGACGGGGAGGATGTTTGGGTACAGGGGATCTGGTGGGAGTCTCATCATTCACGGGAGTGAGGAATATTACAGGACATGTTTTCCTGGCAAGGTGACTGATGTAGGTTTGATACATTATTCTCACATTTTGGTGACATATTTGTGGTGACCGTTTGTGGTATTCATTTCTTGCAGGAACCAATGGAGCTCATGGGAGTTAAGAAATACATGAGGAGGTTTAGAGATGAACCTGATGCTGCATTTATCCCCGAGTTGAAACGTTACCTCGTGAAGTGGATAGATAAGTCAGTCTGCTCCTATTGCGGACTAATTGGTGATATTCATCCAATCGAGATCACGCTTTGTAATGACGGGGCGCAACCACACCTGAAGGTGGAAAGCACGATTTGCGATGTTGAGGGTTGTGGTGGTTGCGGGCTGGTCGGTTATTGCTGTAATTATTGTCAAAATACGGACTGGCCGCGACACAAGTCGAAGTGTACTAAACCGTGGCCACCAGAAGGGGGACCGCCACCGCGGGGGGGACCACTGCTACCCAGAGGGCAACAACCGCCACCGGAAGGGGAACAACCGCCACCGCAAGGGGAAAAACCGCAACCGGAAGGGGAACAGCCCCCACCGCAAGGGGAACAACCGCCACCGAAAGGGGAACAACCCCCACCTCAAGGGGAACAAACGCCACCGCAAGAGGAACAACCCCCACCTCAAGGGGAACAAACGCCAACCCGAGGGAAACAAACGCCGTCCCGAGGGCAACAAACGCCATCCCGAGGGAAACAAACGCCGTCCCGAGGGCAACAAACGCCATCCCGAGGGAAACAAACGCCATCCCGAGGGCAACAAACGCCATCCCGAGGGAAACAAACGCCATCCCGAGGGAAACAAACGCCACCCCGAGGGAAATGACCGCCACCGCGATTGAATTGAATCTGGGAACTCTCTTTGTTCAACTTTTTTTAAGAAGTGTGGATTTTTAATCGAATCTCTAAATAATTGCATTGATTTTATAATGATTATCCTATTAGGGGTAATTTATTTTTCTGTATGGATTTAGCGAACTGCAACAATGTGGTTTTTTAATTGAGTATAAGTGTAATTATTTTTATAATGATTTTCATAATGTGTACGAACGAATAATTTATTTTTGTGTATTTTATCGAATTGCAAAATGTGGATTTTAACTTGACTTAATTGATTTTACTGCTGGTATTTATAATGATTTTCCTTCTTGTGTATGAGTAATTTACTGTTCTGTACGCATTTTTAGCGTATTGCTCATGCGTGTAAAATAAGTATTTTCTACTGTGATTTGTATTGAATTGCCTTAAATTAATAAATTGTGTTGGCATGTACATATATCCAGTTCGTGTGTCCAAATTAATAAACAGCTTCGTCATTCAAAAATTTACGTATTTTGATTTTTGGATGCAAAAAAATCATTTACATTCAGTCATTTTGCATTTTATTCAAGTTCTCTAAACTGAATTAATTTGCTCCATGCATTTTCGGTTTCACATATTTACATATGAGGAAACCATATTTCCAAACGTGGATGAAATGTATTGAATTTCATGCTCGTTCACTTTTCCCTTCACTGTTTGCAAGTATTTAATATGGGAAAATGCATTTATGTAGATGAATGTTACTGGGTATATCTATACATAATATGCAGATGTACATGATATACATATGTACACACTTAAGTACTAACCTCAATCAATACCAAAAGGCAGAATTTTTTTTAGTATGTATTGTCGACCTGTCCCAATTATGTTTTGGAGGACAATTCCAGGAATTAAAACAGCCTAGAGTATAGTTCAATACAATAAGCAATATGTACATATGTATGTGACCATTTCGACTAATATCCAGCCTGGACATTAATTAAGTACAGAATGAAATTTCTGTATGTGCATTAAGAATGACCACAAAATGTCACGTTGCCTGACCCCATTAATTTGCACATTAGCCATCCTGGTAGGTCCAATTTAGCTCTATACACTCCCACTCGCCGCCGAAGACATCAGCACCTGTTTAAATTATGTTAAGAAATAAAACGGTGAAAATCAAAAAGTAGTAAATTTTTAAGTGATTCATCGGCCAACATACATATATAAATTTGTTTATTTCTTAAATTCTGCATTCACCCAGATACAAAATAATAATTTTGAAAGGAAGATTCCCTCATTTTCATTAAATCCTACTCTCTTTTCAAAATTTGACAAGAAAAACAAAAAAATACTAATAAATCAAATTGCATAATTCGTCTTTTCCAACAAAGCTGGTAAGCCATTCTAGTCTTAAAAGCATCCTTCCCTCACACTGCCGACGGTATAATTCACGTTGACCGTCCGACTGACGCCATAGCCATTGTTGACTGTGTGGCTATCCGGCCTGAGACATTCCGCGACCCCTGTAAAATTCAGCCCGGAGTACACCGTCCACCAGTAATTTCCCGTATGAAAGGATGACCCCATGCTGAGTAAAGTTCCCTGGTCGTCGATTGAGGTCATGTTGCCCCAAATCGGGGTAACCTGTCCATCAATGACCCTCCCGGAATATACGTTTAGACGTTTTTCGGTCATATAAGGATCCCCAAGTCGACTCAAGTTGAAAACCGTAGCCTCAAAGGTAACGCCAAAACAAGTTCCGTACGCCTTAATGGGTGGTGATTGTGCGTCAGGGACACAATTAGTTACAGATGTACAGTCCCTAATTCGCCATCTGGATTATCATTAAATAATTCATTGCATGATTAAAAATTTAGTAAATTCGCAATATTTTTCGCAATATATTGAGGGTATTCATTACCAGTTGCCATGTTAGCACAATTTTGGAAAAATTTAAACTGATTGTTAGCCTTGGAGATGGACAAATTCGGAAATGAATTTTCAATCCAATTTTTTTCGAACTTGTAAACTTAGTTTTTTGCTAACAATGCGAGTTCGTAATGAACACCCCAATTGTATGATTCACAATTTAATAAAGTCCCAAATAATATTCGCAATATAGATATTTATTTGTCGATTCTTACAATCCTATTATGAAAACGGATCGCATTTTCGCATTAGGAATCAGGCTGACCAGACCGGACGAAGTTGCACCATGGATGCGAAGGCCGCTACAATCCGTCGAATTGTAAATGTGAATTTCTTGTCTGACCTGTCCAGCCGTGAAAACAGCGAAAGTTAGCAGAACGAATGTGGACATGGAAAAAATCGCCATTTTAAAGAATTGTTAAATATAAATTTATGGCCGAATACAGTGTGAGCTGTTCGTGTACTGAAGATCATTCAAGGTACGCAGGTTAGCCTATTTAAGGCGATGAGCCGGATAACGTGTACGTTATCTCTTGGCTTATCAATTAATTGAACTTAATCATATGTCTCAATTCACCCAAGTTTTTGTAGCTTAGTGTTATGGGTTTTACTTTGTATTGCAAAACAACAAGAGATTGACTTTACTCGTGACTGCACTCATGTAACGATAGAGGCAGAATTTGGAACGATGTGACAGGATGTTCGTCAGACTTGATTGATGTCAGGGTTCAAATAGTGATTGATTTTCTAGTGTACATTGTACCTATATATATATGATAAGATATTCATATTCAAAGGTATATACATACGTAAATGTTAATCTCAATAAAAAACGATTTTTTACCCAATGACTGATCTACCCATTGATCTCACCATGGATAATAATTTATATATGTCCAATTTTCTGCCTGGGTCAGCCACGGTTTTGGCGTAAATCGACCTACCTCGCCCCTTAAAAAAGCTTCAATTTGTAGAGTAACGGGTGCGTGAAAACATTATTTGGTTAGCGTAAGTCGTATGAAGGCGCTAAAAAATCTGGTGGAGCGTGCTTCCAATTTTTTTAAATTGAACAAATTTTAACATGCAATGCATATGTACATACATATGTACGCCTTTTGTACTTGAAAGTTAATTGGATTTTTGGAGGAATAAAAATCAAATTCGAGTTCCTCGATTGCCATTTATGTGAGACTTTTTCTGACTAGACTTGGTATTGCGCAAGGGCATTTTTTAGAAATTTCAATTTTTACATCTGGAAATATGTATGTAAATTTGTATGACATGAATGTATGCATGTACATATGTACGTGTGAACATGTATCCATTTATGATTACATACATTGGCGTGTATAACATTAAGGTACAGATGTATTTATGTGCATATGATAAAACATGATTCATTATTAAGCTTATGTAGTTTCATTGCTTTAAATATGCATGTATGTATGTACATACATATGTCGGATAATAAAGGGAATATCTAAACCAACTACATATGACATCCGTTGCACACGCCGTTATTTTTAGTATGTCAATGTCCATCAAAATTCGTTCGTGTTTTCCTTAAAAGCAATACACTATTTAAATAGGTTCTGGTGATTATTATTATGCATGCACATACCTACATACATAAATTGTCCATGTCAATCATCTTTTTAGCCTTATAGGTGTGCTAAACATGCATATCTTAATCAGCCCTTTGATTGGACCTCTTACATGCACGTGTCGCCATTCCCAGCATTTAATCGATACCAATATTTTCAGAATATAAACAAGATATTAAAACAAAGGAGAAGTTTGCTTTAACAATTTTGATAATATTCTTTGTCGAATTACGCTTTCTCATCATCCATCAAATTCATTCCTCTCGTGTTCAGTTGTTCGCTTTTCGTCTATGTTTAATTCGTTAATGCAGCTTAAAATAGCAGTTTTTCTGATCACAATTTCGAAAATTTCCAAGAAAATCTGCTACAATTATCAGCCCATAATTTAAAAAAAATAAAACTAAAATGTCAAGCCCTTCTTTCGCTATTCTTGTTCTCCTTGGTTTCTCTAACCTTGTAAAGTCCTTAACGTTCCGCCCACCCTCCTCCAATTGGCCCTTAATCCTTGACATATCGTACTACCACACGTGCCTAATTTCCATCTCATATCCAAATCTCGTCAGCAATTCCACCATAAAAATCAATTCCGACTTCGTTGCCATCATTTCGCAAAATCACGCTCGCTTTAATTCTGTCACCGGGAGAAAAAAACATAACGAGTTTCACTTCACGAAATCTCATCGGCAATGCACCCTTCTCATTCTGATCAATCCCACGGTTTCCGACCTCTACGAAGAAATCCGTGGTATCCTTGGTTACCATAATTCGTACGGATGGAAAGATAAAACCAATATAATTATTTTCCTGGAAAACGAGGGGATCTTTAAACTACGAGATTTCAAATTTCGGAACAAATGGGCCAGCAACATGTTTGACAACCAGATTTATTTCGTTTTTTATAAAGATAATCACATTTCTGACTTGTATTTCTACTGCTACTTTTGCACAGAGAAAAATTCTCCGATATTACATCTTTCAAATCGCCCCAGTATAAATCTAGACCAGCGGGTAGAATCTTATTACCGCCAAAAAACTAGCGGCTACAACGCCGACAAAGTTATCACCTTCGGTTCATGCCAATTTGCTTCGAGCCCCACTTACAACGAGACGGAATGCATCGCTGCCCGGGAACTGGTCCCTTTACTGGCGGAAAAATTCAATTTCACCGATTTTAGATTTCCCGGGTATTACAGCTATCGTGATTGGTGGAGGAAGCAAAAACCGGGTAGAAAATATTACGCCCCATCGCTAATTTGGGAGTCCACATTTGATCAAGTTTCTGCCGCCGTGGATGTCCTATTTTTCACGATGCATATCGAAAACTATGGCGCATTTTATTGCCAGGAGGAAGTGAAACTTAGAGGATCACAGTGGCACAAGTGGGTGCAACCCTTTGCACCCGCCACGTGGGGTGTAATGGTGCTATTTCTCACGTCTGGTATCGTCACCCTTCGGTTGACTGCAATCGCCAAGAATTTGGTGTACAAGGTGCACACAAAATTTCAAATGTGTGACCTCGTTTCGACATCTTTGACATGTTGACCATGGTGTTTAGGCAGGGGATCTCAGCCCGTAACTTTTTAGCAATTCACGTCATCATAGCGTACGGCATGTTCGCCATTACAATGCTTTACGAGGGTTTGGTCACGAGTTTGATAGTCATGCCGCTACCATCGATAGAAATTGACACGCTAACCGAACTGCTCGACGCCGGTTATACGTTTATATATGACGAATCGAAATATGGCAAGGATCGGAATTGGACCGAGTTTGCGTTCCCGTTCATAAATCAGGGGCAATGGGGGCGATTTCGGAACAGCTTTTACGTCCTGGATAAAGGCGAGGATTGGAAAGAATTGCTGCGAAATGGGACTCATCTCGGGAAGAAATTGGCGGTGGAAGTGGCCGTGATAGAAGCGCCAATTTTGGCGAGTCAATTAGTCCCACGGAGATGCAGGGTTTTGCAGGAAGTGTATCTTATACGGTTGCATCGGTGGAGGTTTGCTCGTAGGAATTACAGGGCGTTTGAAAACTTTCTGAACAGAGTGAGACAGGTTGGTCTATTTGAAAAGTGGTATCGACGCCATAATCTTCAGATGGCTTTGGGGAAGCAGAAAAGTCGGGAGAGGCAGAATGACTTAAAGAACAGCACAGCTTTATCGGGTGGGGATCAGGGATCAGTTCGACATTTACAATGATTGGAGTGTCGTATGGGATTGGATGGGGTACGTATGTGGTAGAATTGATGCGGTGGAAATCTATGCATGCTTAGGAAAGAAAAAGTCCGTAGAAGCTCATTCATACATATGTAAAATGTAAATGTATGTATGTATGTACCTATGTACATATGTATGTATATGTATCATATTTATCCTTCGGTGAAATTCTTCGTATACCTATAAGTATTTGCACACGCACGGATACCTATTTATTTACAAAATTGTATTCGCAACAATGAAGAACGCATCTTTTCCAAATATTTAAAATTTTAATTTATAATTTATAATTTATAATTTATTTTAATTTATTTACTAAACCATACTAAATTAATTTTTTTAATAATAAGTCAAAACCGATTGAGAATGAGAACAAAGATATGTGTATGATTACACTACAACAGTTTTCTATGTAGTGAAACTCTGATATTTATCTACATACCTACAAACATACGTACATACATACATAATACGTTAAATAATGTAATGCAAAAGAATCCAATGATTTATACATGTCCATCAAATCATGTCGTCTTCTTGCCCACGCTTGAATAACACTTCAATTAATACTGTGGACACAGTTTAAGTAGTTTTTAAATCAAGTTAATGAATTCTGTTTGTTACTCTCATTTATGTATGCATACATATACATAGGTATGTACATATCTATGTATCTAAATATTTATTATTCTAAGTAACACTTGAAAAAACGGGACTAAATTACATCCCTCTTGGTTGATACTCCAATTCCAGAATTAGCACAACCTACATACTTCGAAACTCGTAAAACTTCTAAGAATAAAGACCATCTCTTTGACCGACTCGCTCGCTATGCACTAAGGTCGCCAAATAAATAAGCTCATTAACTCATCAAGTTGAATTGACCATGCCCTAAAAATACCGATCATTAATTAAACTTAATTTACCCTGGATAAAAATGAATTATGCTAAATAACTCCCCACGTGCATTAAGGACTTGCATCCTGTCATGCATGTCACATCTTAAACTAGACCTTAGACCAGGATAAATTCCTTCATTCCAACTTTAACCTTGTACTGACAAAGTTATCAAACATATATGTAAATCCTGAAAAAATATCTGAATTTCTGAAAAATTTTCATAATCCCACTAATTTCAACAATGCCTTTCAAATTTCAATTCCTCCTCGTTCTATGTATTTCGTGCGTGGCGTCCTTTAAACGAGACATACCACTCAATGTCACACCCTCTCAAATAATCCCATCCGACGACCTCGACTACGCCTTGTTGCCCGACTTTAACGAACCCTGCAACAAGACGGACTGCGCACCCGGTTTGTTCTGCACGGATGACATCTGTCAATGCGCCAACCCCTCGTACGAGGTCTACAATAATCTCACCGGTCGCTGTGACCGTGTCGTTGGCGCGATGTGTACGGCACAAAGTATCTGCATGCCTGGCGCCCTGTGCATTCGCAACATTTTTGAGAAGATCTACTCGCGCTCGGGAGTGTTTGGGCCAAAGGTGGTGCCCATAATTGAGAACATTTGTCAATGTCCGGGCGGCTGGGTGGACAACTTGTGGGGTGGTTGTGATCTAGCACATGGTCACCCGTGCGGAGGAGAGTTTGGGGATGCGAAATGTGATCGACATGCAGGTCAGTTGAGTAATTGTTGCAAAAATTGGGGAAAGTAGGGTTGCATAAAATGTTCTTATTTAAGTATGCGCATATATCTCATCGTAAATAATTTAGCAAATTGTTCGCGAAACAAAGAAATTCCAATTCATTGAGAAAATTTTGAAACAAAAATTTCACGGTTCTCAAGCATTTTTATTTCTAAATCTCGTAAACTTCTTAAAACTAAACAATTTGAACTATTTATGTAATTAGACACTTTTCAAGTCATGCTAAAGTTGCCTTGTCGTCAATACGCCAATTATTTTTTTTCGACAAGTTTCTCCGTTCAGAATAATTAGAGAAATTAATATTAAGTGGTTTTGTGTATTCAGAGTTGGTTTGTCGCGAAGACAAGTGTGCCTGCCCGGATGCGTCGGATAAGTACAACTCCAAAGAGAGAAGGTGCATGAAAGGGGTGGGAACGCCGTGTCGCTGGAAAGGGCAGTGCAGTCCTTCAGCCGATTGCGTGTGGGACACGACAAGGACCCCAAAAAGTAGGACAGGTTTAAAGTGGTGAAATTATGCAGGTATGAATAACGATATACAATACATTTCTGTGTTTTAAATTTCCAGATTTGTGGGGAACCTGTCTCTGTTCTTTTAAGGACGATCCGTGTCCATCATGACGCTGTATTAAAGGGAGAGGACAAAAATGAATACTAGAAACTGTAAACTTACGAAAATGGAATGTAATGCATGTACATATGCAGATCAATATCGGAAATTCATGCCTAGGAATAATGATGGTAACTTAAATAATCATGGACATTTATCATTTATATACATACACACGTAACACAAATAATTCAAATACACACATATTTTTTGGAAATTTCCTGTATTTCAAATTTATAAGAATATTAATCTCAGTATTTGTTAGAGTACCAAAAATATAATGAGTTACAAATTAGTTTTAATACGCACATTTGTATACACTCGTCAAAACTCACAAATTCTATTAACTGCATTTATGTATATACTTCACTCCTTGTAGCTTGCGCCATAGTTAAGCTATGCATAACATTGGCGCAAGTTGGCAACGAATCAAGTATTTATACATAAATGTCATTATGTAATTATGCTACACAAGTACATTTACTATTTATGTCATACAATTCGAATTTCATTTCAAAAATATTCTTCAATAGTGTATTACAAAATTCTCCAGCAGGAATTAATGTCTTCCTGACAAGCAAACAATTTACTAAATTATATTTACCACGAAATTAGCCAGATTATTGTTACAAAAATAATTATAAACTAGTACACCGAATTCCACCAGGTTGTATGATATCATATAAATAATTTAATAAATTAATTTGTATTAAATCTGCAGTATTCATTTCTAATCTTCGATACATACCTTATTATAGAATTATATATTTTTAGGTTATGTCACCTATGATTAATTAATAACACCATTTAAATCAAAATGGCACACACATTTCTCCATTTGGATTTATAAGATCACGCTTAGTTTTTGTCGCCCAGTTGCAGTTAAGCTCTCACAACTGATCAGTCTCTCTTCTCATTGGATCCCGAACGCCTTCAACTCAGCCTTTACCCTGTCAAATTGATTAAACCAAGCATTTTTAACATAATTCCATACCAAATTATTTAATAATATTTATACCTTTCGAAATAGCCAGGATCTGGATACCCGTATGTTTGCGGCCCTCCACGAGCGGACGTCTTGTGATGAATATTCCAAACCAAGACGTTCTGTTGTCCAGTAGTGTTGCTCGTGCCAACGGTGAAGATTAATCTCCGATCCCACGCCTCCCTGAGCAGAGCCATGATCTCCCGTCCTTCGGGAGTGTCTGGCAAGTACGCTACTCTATGCAAGCGCGGGTGACGTGGGTCTGACACGCGATAGTCGATCATCATTGCATCCACCTGCTCGTACCCTTCACATCGACCGGCAGACGTCGTCACGGTCATGGTCCCATCTGGACAGTCGCCAATTCTGATGCCTGTAATTATAGTTGGCATTATCTACATGTTTTCTTATTTAAACAGAACAATGAACAAAACAAAAAATACGAAACGAAACAAATAATTCCGATTAAAACAAAACAAACTTTGTGTACAGGAGATCAAAATAAGAACAATTCCAACCCTACCTGTCATATTTTGACAAAATGGACAGATAACACAAGTATATTCAATGCCGGCCATGGTTCTCCGAGTAATTTTAATCCTGGCGTGACACGCGGTACACATCTTGTGCGCACATTTCAACTCGACCCATGACGTGGGGGAGTTGTAGGGTATGTCTTCATAGCAGATGGGACAGGAGTCCATACGCTCAGGGGTGGTAGACGAAACCTCCGAAGTTACAGTGGCGCATGGTACGGTCTTCCTTGTGGTAGTTGGCTTTACAACTGGGGTAGAATCGGCCAAATATGCCCTATTGAACGCCCAATGTCGACTCTCCTCCAACAATGTGTCGTTAGTCGTGACAGGGTTCGACTTCTTGGCATCTCTTAGTACCGCTTGTGCCGACGTGCACGGGCCGGAAGTGTCGGCTGAGCTATCGGCATCCATGTCGATGTCAAACATGGGAATGCTAGTCTTTTTCAAGGGGATAGGAGGTTCTCCCAGTATCATTGGAGTTGGTTGGTCAAGCAAATGGTTAACGCAAAGATCCATATTGTAGTTAAACTTCTTTAACGTTCTCCGATTTTCGTCAATGTCAAAGAATCCAAGATTCGCGAGCATTTGTAATTTTTCTGCGATAGAGTCTTCACTTGGTGGTGAGGGAATGCAAGGAACGACGCCGTCAGCCATGGAGCTGTTGAGGTCGAAGTCATCTTCTTCTTGGTGTTGGACACCCATCTGGGCAAAGATGTAGCGAGCTGAGAATGGCCAGCCTTGTCTTGAGGTGGGTGGAGGTAAAGCAGGTCCCACTCCAGTGCTCGGGGCGGCCCATGCAATTGGAGGGCGATGCTGGCGAAAGGCGGGTAGATCGCTTAGGGCGCTGGAGTTGTTATGGTTCGGAGAAAGGATTACTCCGCGTTGGTATTTGACTTTGTAGAGGGGACAGCACTGATATCTGAAAAGAGGGAAATTTTAAAATTTTAGTTACAGCTAAAATAGGCAATTTCTTCTATCCCAATCATGTTATTGAGTAACGAGACAAACGGCGAAAGTATAAACAGGGCGCTATGGGTATTTAAAAGTTCCTTATTCGTGACTTATTTTATCATGATTGGTGAAGTTATACAAAAGTAATTTATTTTAACCATCATTATTATATAGCATTAGCAAAATATGAATAATTTGAATTTAAAAAATCTGAGAATCTGCAATCCAGTTCAAATTCATAATTTCTAATCACACAAAATTCTATTTGAATTAATTCAATTTTTTCCAACAATTTTCAACTTTGTTTAATCTTGCATGCACTTTCTCCAAAAATAGATTAAAAATCACTCACCTATTGTAGATAACATATTCGTTATCCGTTCCCGGCCTTGCGACTATCGAATCAAAGAACTGATCTTTAAAGTTCCTCTTTTGCGACTCTACTTTCTCCGGCTCCCTCACCAGTAACCTCTTATTTTGAGATTGATCCATTGACAAACAATCCCCCAAAAGCACCGCAAAGACTAATATGACGTTCGACCCGCCGTCGTAATTAACCGATTTTTGTGGATTATCCGCAAAATAAATTCCCCTTCCTAACAATCCCGGGTTCTGATTGCTGACTCGCTCGTCCAATCCTTGTGTCAATATGGCGTCAATACCCCCCGCGTTTCTAGTGCCTAAACGAGTAACTAAATTAAATATTGAACCATGTACTAAATTATAATTACTGTTAACTTAAATTACAATGGAAGAGTAGCGCCATATTGTCTGTGTATCGCGAATCAGCAACAGCGTCGTCCTTATCATGATTAAATGACATTTGAGCACTTCTCACGACTTGCGTTTCATCCAGACCAAGGCCCTTGAGCAGCAAAAGATCGTCACTTTTCGTTCTTAGCATGTCCTTTCTCGCGGCGACGAATCTTTCCCATAAATCCGGATTCACGACTTGCTCCACCCCCAGAATTTTCACGGGGTGGAGTAAATCCGCTAAAACTTTGTACTCTGCAGTGTTCTCGTTGACAGGGAATAGTTTGAAGGGTGAAAGACAAGTCAGTGTTGTATTATGATTGGCCGCCCAGTTTGGCGGAGTGCTCGGTGACGCGGTCGGCGGTGGGGGTGGTGGGAAAAGACGAGGCATTGGAAGCACCACACGTGGTGATGGTGATGTTGTCGCAGTAGCCACAGCGCCAGTTGCACCTACAGCACCACTTGCAATGAGTGAGTTAACCCATGTCGCCGCCGGCGTCGATGTGGATGTAGATGAGTATGGGATATGTCGAACTGAGGCAGTCGTGGGTCGACCTGATGCTGCCACTGCGTTATTCCTTCTCCTTATCGCCGACGCTGGTAACACGCCTGCTTGCGGGACTTGTTGGGCAGGCTGGTTGTTGTTTTGTTGATGTTGGCCTCGTGATGGGTCGTTCAAGTTTGATGGCAAATTTCTACCACTTTGTCCCGGTTGGGGCGAGCCTGAAATTATCGGGGTCCTTGAAGTTGTCAGCGTCCCACTGAGATTGTATACAAGGTTACCAGCGGGGATCATGGTCGGGACTGTCGAAGTTGAAGAGGTTGTGGTAGGGACGGTCTGAGCTTGGGTGTATATCGGCCCTCCGGCCTGCTGGAGATTTGGAGCAAAGGCAAAGTTCAGGGAACCGTTTGGACCGGTATGAAATTTGACTCTCTGTGAGCAGAAAATTAATTTATGGTTATGTATGAGCACATTTATAATTTAAATATGATTTTTAATGCTTTTTTTTATACTGACCATCACCCCCTGCTCTTGAACAATAGTATAATTTGGCAAATGGTTGGCATTGGCCAGTCGGTAATTTCCTATTCCTATTGGATTGCCATTACTACTTGTTGTCTGGGTCGAACTACCAGAAGAGGAAGCACCACCAGGGTTCGGAATGCGACCGGTAATCCGTATCTTTCAAAATAAATTAAAACAGTTATCAATTATGTGCCAACCAGTAAAATAAAAGTGGAGCAAGAAAAGTAGCAATTTGTAATTTAGAACGTGCAATTCCCTGAGGGAATTTCCCTCCTCTTCGCATGATTAAGTATTACTAAATTTTCTTATCTCAATATATTATGATAACCTTAACTTACCACACCCGCATAAAGCGGCTGATATGTAGGTGGCAACGTTGTCGGTCCACTGGATAAGGTAAAGTGTGTCACAGTCTGGTTCCCACTTGTCGTCGTCGTTGCCGTCGTTGTCGTCGTTGTCGTCGACGTCGTGGATGGAATATTACCGGCCATTTGAACTCGAGTATTATCACAGAGACTGAAACTAGATATAACTTTATCGTGAAAATTCACAAGTATTTGAGCACATTGCGAATTGCTAATTAATTAACTAACAACGACTCGATAATTTTTGGCAAAAAGTCTCAACAGCTGAAGAAAGAAGAGACAGACGACTTTTCAAGTTCGAGTCGTTGATTCCAATTTGGCTGGAAAGTATCTGCCCAAAAAGTGGTGGTGGTGGACTAATAAGCCTTTTTCTATGCATCGGTCGGTGGTGGTGGTGGTGCACGCATACACTTGTTTCGTTTCAATGAAAAATAAGCTACATAAATATCTTACAAATTCAATGGAAAGTTGTCATGAATTTTTGATGGAATGGATGAGCATATTTGCAAAGATAAGCAGGTAATCAGCAACATTTTGGGGGTCGGTAGGCAGACAAGTAAATATGTGCATACATACTGACGTTTACATATAAATGTCCACGTCCACGCTCCCGGTAGAAGTGGAAAATAAAGATGAAACGTTTTGCTTTAAATAAATACACAAGTGTATAAATACCAGAGGGCGGATATGTATGTATTTATAACTTTTTCACATCAAATTAGATCGTACTAAAATTTCGTATACTGACAAAGTGACAACCAAGCAATCTAATCGTAAGCACGATCGCAAAAATTCAAACATAGTTTTCAATATTTTAAGGTTTTCGTACATATTACATATTTGCATACATATTTTGAGGATTTTTCATACATATACATATGTATTTTCCTGTATATTTCGAGTTTTGTTGCAAATGTATTTGAAATACAAAATACAAATACTATTTTCTATCTTAAAATAGCATTTTCTCCAGCTCTGCAATTTATTTAGTACATATGTAAACATGCAACTGTATTTCCATATCTTTGTATTTATTAAGTAGCTTCAGCTACTTTATGTGAAGACTTTGTCCGTCTGTCTGTCCGTCTGTCTGTCTGTCTGTCCGTCTGTCTGTCAGCAGGATATCAGGAGAACGGATCGAGATAATCGAAATCGGTTTTCGCCATCATACATAGGACCCCAGGGGGAGGATCCTATCAACTTTTGGGGGCAACCGGACCACACCCCCTTTGGCGACAGGGGGTGTGGTCGGGGCAAAATGAGATTTTTAGTGCAATTTAATCTATAGGTGAAATAGAGTAAAATTATGTGTTCCGGAGTTGTGCCACACCCCCTCGGCGCCAGGGGGTGTGGTTGGGGCAAAATGAGATTTTTAGTGCAATTTAATCTATGGGTAAAATTAGGTGAAATTGAGTGAAATTAAATGAAATTAAGTGAAATTAAGTGAAATTAAGTGCTTCCCCGATTGTGCCACACCCCCTCGGCCCCAGGGGGTGTGGTTGGGGCAAAATGAGATTTTTAGTGCAATTTATTCTATGGGTAAAATTAAGTGAAATTGAGTGAAATTAAATGAAATTAAGTGAAATTAAGTGAAATTGAGTGTTTCCCCGATTTTGCCGCACCCCTTCGGCGCCAGCGGGTGTGGTTGGGGCAAAATGAGATTTTAAGTGCAATTTAATCTATAGGTGAAATAGAGTAAAATTATGTGTTCCGGAGTTGTGCCACACCCCCTAGGCGCCAGGGGTGTGGTTGGGGCAAAATGAGATTTTTATAAAAAATTAATCTATAGATGAAATAGAGTGAAATTAAGTGTTCCCGAGTTGTTCCACACCCCCTCGTCGCCAGGGGGTGTGGTCGGGGCACAATGAGATTTTTACAAAAAATTAATCTATAGGTGAAATAGAGTGAAATTAAGTGTTCCCGAGTTGTGGTGGGACCGTTTGGGGTGAAGTACGTCTGAAGCTACTTCCGTATGCGCGTTTGCGACGGTTTATTTCAAATTTGCTCAAGTTATGTATGCAACACGCTCTCAAATAAACTCCTGTTTCCCAACTTGGGAATCCCAAGTTAGTATACAATATTTTTATTTATAAATCCTATGTAACTAAACAAATATGTAGCTAGGCTTTTGAGCTGCCGAGTCATCGCTTTGTATGTAAATATTAGACACGATCCATTATTGATCCACGTGTTGCATGAAGGATTTTCACATTAATCCTGTGTAAACAAAATTACTTTTCCTCATAAACTAGAGGAAGCACGTACTTCTAAAATATGTATGTATGTATGTACAGAGCTTAAATATACCTATATGTACATACACAACACTTACATGTTTATCTAAACTTCGAAACTCATGTTCACACTTCATGTCCGCAACTAATATGCATATAAATAATACTATATTGAAGTCTTATAAAGTGTTGTCAAATATTTCAGGATTTTGCCCAATCAAAAGTAAATGTGATGCATGCACTAAGGGCATGACACTGTTTCAAGATTCTTAGAAATTAATATTCTAATACCAAACGGTTGGTCAAACATGCCATAGAAACGTTGACCAAAATTGGTCTAGAAACTTTTTAGTTGCCAATTGGTGTGCACTCACATATGACATATGCATGCACATGCATACGTACATCAATTCTAACGTAAAGGCGGCTTCATCTGTATATTTTTAAATGCGATACTCCTCATTTCAAGTTAAGAATATCTAAGTAATCAAATCTATGAATACGAATATCTACATACGTATGAATATTGACAGTTTGTATCCATTAAAGTATTGTAAACAAATCGGACCACGCATAAAAAATGAGATCAATTGTTCATCTGAAGGGCAACAATCTATCTCATGTAAATTTTAGCATAGAACACAATGTTGAAGAAATTAGTTGGAGTCAAAATTTTCTGAAAATCCATCACATTCTTTATGTAGGGTCTCTAGGTATCTAAATACTTTTCTGCGTCCATAAACATAATTTGTAGCCTTAACTAAAATTAGCACCCCAAAACTTCTACGAAATTAATCCCATGTAAATCTTCCAGATCAAATATCAGAAAGCATGTCTCATTCTCATTTTACGAGAAATCCATCACGAGAAATCTACAAATATTCATCTTATCCGTGGGTGACTAATGTTTGTGACTCATCCGAACGAGGGATCGGATCTCTTATCTGGGTTTAAGGGGCATATTTATGTATCTACATATGTACTTCAGTATGTAGAGAACGAGAATCACGTACATTTCCAGTTAGTTAAATTTCCAGTTTATGTACTTGTCCAGATTCATTTCAAGTCCTCAGCCCAACAAGAGCTGATGCCAAACTGTCCTACCTACATATTCTCAATTTCCCCATCGCTTTAACCACAATAAAAACACAATTTTCTCAAAAACACACAATTTTCTTAAAAACACACAATTCCCTCAAATAGCTTAAAACCTATTCTAAATCCGAAAAAGTTTAAATACATAAAATTTGAACTTCATCTTCACAAAAATGCCTGAAACTGCCGTCTTCCTCGTCTGTATCGTCGTGACTTCTTTGCTCACCCCAGTGGCCTCGTCCCCTGCCAAAACGGGTAAGAAATAAATACAATTTTTTCAAAAATGTGTACAAGATTTTGAAACTATTTCTGAATTAAACTCTTTCGATTTAACGATTCAATACAAAATCTTTAAGATTATATATACTTAAATCATGGTTATAAATTCATTTTCTATTTTATACATTTCAAAATTTCAGATTAAAAACTACTTTTAATTTGAATCTTTTGACATAATTATCTTAAAACGTTGGGTATATACATAAATCAAATTAATTTTCAATTCTGTTTCAAAATTTCAGACGGGGACATCGACCCAATGAAGCCCCCCTTGATGTGCTACCAATGCAGCTCGGACCCCACCCCCCACCCCGGCCATGCCCCTGTGTTGCCGTACCATCCATTCTGCTCGGGCGGAGGAATCCTCCCCCCCAACCTGCTCGTCCAATGCGACAACATCGTCACCCCCCACACCAGCGTCATCACTCCCTTCGACACCGTGGGACAGGTGGACCGCTCCAAGTTCATTGACCACGTGAGAAACGGGCCCAATTTCATCGAGTGCGGAAAGTTCCACACCACCGAGACGGGAACTACGAGGAAGGGGTGTGCCCTGGTGGAAGGAACGATGAACAAGACCTTTGGAGCTAATGAGGATGTCACATTTGCCAATGGACACATCATCAAAGGCCACTACTGCGGGTGGGGTCGGTGTAACCAGGGCAACGGGGCGAGCGTCACGTCATTCTTTACCATTCTTGGAATGATTGCGTTGTCACAGATTTTGCTTTGAGCAGTTTGTTGTGGAGATTTTGAATGAATTTTATTTTTATAATTGGCATAAACATATGCGTACGTAGTTAATAAAAAAAGTAGTGTTACCCCTTTAAGGAAAATAAATACATGTTTATGAGCCTTTACATTTTTTATTTTCATAAATAGATATATTGAATTGTTGCAGATTATGTAAATTTATTTCATTTAAGAGGTGACTGTTGCATTCTTATATAGGTATGTACATACTTAACGGCAACTACTTATGAATATGCAGGGTATTCCGAACCCAGGGTTGGGGTTTAATGAATAAAGCCCATGGTTTACAATGTCAACTGGGTTTTACTCGGGTTTAATTTGGTTTACATTAAAGGGGTTTAGCTAATTATTGGGTTAAGAGTGTAGGATTATACTCATGACAAAATTGAGAAGAGTATGTAAGTTTGAATACTAAAATTCATATTTAATTCAATATTTATTAATTGAAAGCATAAATTGAGACAGACCTCAAAATTTATTAGAACTTCTTCGATACATGGAACTCAGTTTCGTTTTCACATTTAATCTTGAAGGGTCCATCACTGCTATACACGGTTTGGCACTTCTTGCAATCCTGAACTCGAACGGCTGGTTGGTCGGGTCCAGAGCATTTGAAGAGAGTTTTCTTGCAATCGTCTCCTTCCAATTTACAAAAATGAAGTTCCTTGCCCCCATAGTCCTAAAGACATGCAATACGATATGTGTAATGAATTACATACTGTGGAATTATTTGTTCTAGTCACCTCATTTGCATATGTCGACGCATTCGCGAGAGACATATAATTTATTCAATATGGAAAGCTTGTTGAAAATGGGAATAGTGCGAGATTTATGCAAATGAGGTGACACGCCTAATTAATTATGTAAGGGCACAGTACTGCATCGTACGCAGTGGCCGCGGGACTTGTGGGGACATATGGGGAAAATAACATTGTAGGACAAGTGGGGGAGGGGTTTATGTAACATGGACAGATCATGAGGACATCGAATAACCATGGGGACATTGTCCTCTGTCCTCACGCTTCCGCGGCCACTGATCGTCCGTGACCGTCTGTAATATCAAGTTCATTGTTTGAAGGATTAACTTACGTCGACGGAGACTTTCGCAGCTGGGGGACACACACAATCAGGGGATGATTTGTCCACGAGGAAGGAGACGAAAAACAGTAAGGCTGCCCCTACTGCGAAGGACGTCATGGCTCGTTGTGACTCAAACCGATGTCAATGCTACTAATTTTTTACGTGTCTTTTCCTTGCCAAGGTTACTGATGGACTGATGACATTAGGGGTGGCTGCAAATATTTAATATATTATTATTTTCAACTAGCCGTGTCAGACAATGCTTAATTTGTTAGTGTTCTCAAGGGGCTGTCCGTAAATTGGGTAACACGAAATTTACGAACTTGTATATGTACCTTTTCCTTGTTAATTTATCAGAGATAGATAGATAACGTGCATTTACTGCCTCTAAGTGGCAGTAAATTCTGCGCCTCTTCAAGGGTATATGCATACTGTTTGTTTGAAAATTGTAATCAGTTCGTTTTAATTAATTACTAGTCCTACTTGATTATTACAGGTTACATCATAGTAAACTGCATGTTAAATAATTTGACAATTTAACGTGTTATTTTTCATACCCATGATAATTATAAAATATCATGATATCATTTCGCCGTAAAAATCCCGTTTCTTGACCAGAGTGCATGCATTACCTATGTAATTTACGATCAGCCCCAAGAACTAAAGAACTATGTATTCAATTTAGTGAACTGTTCTCAATACACGCGGAAGTTCATACGTATGTAAATACATTGATGATTAGGAATGGTTAATTGTTCCATTGTCAAAATCGAATGCAATCTGAACAATTTCTTAGCAAATATGGATTATGTTTACAAGTTCGTGAATTATTTTATTATCTTTTTCATACTTTATCGCGAGGTACATAATACAAATTTCGTAAATACAATCCGATACAAATTTCCAAAATCTATTGACACAATTGCAAAAATTAATATAGCAAAGCATATTTTAACGCATTCGTGAGAGTCATAGAGTTTACTCAACATGGAAAGCCCGTATCGCCGAAAATGGGCTATTGAGATGTATGCAAATGAGGTGACACGCCTAAGTAAGAGCCTCTTACTAAGAGGATAGTATGTATGTAGAGTAGCGTGGTCGTTAGATCTTGATTTCATGAACAATCGTGAAATATTTTTGAAATTTTTCGCCTATTTTTTTGCAATAATAAAAAATTTCCGTTTAACGAATTTGTTTACAGTAGGTCAAAGACTGTCAGAAAAGTATAGTAAATACTTTTAAATTTTGCAAATCAAGTTAATGACGTTTTGAGGATTCTCGTAATTGACAAAGCAATTGGAAAATTTAGCACTACCTATTTGCATATGGTGATCAGCTTTAAATTGCGGACGTTTAGATAAATATATACATAATTTATAAAGTTTATTTTATCATTCCGAAACCTATCAACTATGTAAAAAGCATTGGTAAAATCACAAGTTTGGGAAAACTAAGGCCAAATATTTCGCGAAAAGATAATTTGCACCGCATGTTTTCTGGCTCCAGGTGGGACACCGAGGCGGAAATCGAGGTGACAATAATTAAGGTTCACTTGATAGCATAGGTATAAATAGAATATCTGTACTTCATACCGAGAAAGTGCCATGATTTTTAAGTGTGTGTAAACTCATGAAGTTGAATTTTCTTGTATTCGACCGACACTGGCATCCAAGCCACAAGATATATGGCGTTGTATGCTCAACAAATATTATTAACATTAATAGAAGATCAATTATTTGAATTATCTGACCCAAAGAATTTATTTTTGCAATGATAATATTTATTTCTATCTAGATTGACTACCGCATTACTCCTCACTCGTCACTCGTTACCGTTGCGATGTGAGTTGTTAAATTATGCATACATACGAACACATTACTCACAATCATGGATTCGCGTAAATGTTAGGTAGGTTCCAAAGTCGGTTTCTCGGGCTAAACTCCTAACGTCAATGGACAGGACGAGTTCGAAGATGGTCACTGTGACATCGTCACCTGTGACGATGACGTCGTCACAGTGACGAAAAGTGACGAAAAAGTGTCACGTGTCAGTTTTGACATGTGACACATCATTTTTAACTAATTTTCAACGAGGAATTCGAAAATTCAGGTCATTTTGCGATTGGACGTCACCTGTGACGAAGACGTCGTCACGGTGACGAAAAGTGACGAAAAAGTGTCACTTGTCAGTTTTGACATGTGACACGTCATTTTTAACTATTTTTCAATGTCAAATTCAATGGTGACCTCCATTTTGACCTCAGAGGTCATGTAAAGGTCATAGGACATATCTATTTCAATTTCAACTGAAATTTAACCCCGAATTCAATGGTGACCTCCATTTTGACCTCAGAGGTCATATAAAGGTCACATAAGGGTTATCAACTGTTAAATTTGACACAAATAAGACACAAAAGTCGAAAACACGTCAGAAGTGTCAATCTTAACAAATTTTCGAACAATTTGATATTCACATTGACGTATGACACTCCTTTCACCCCTTGGTTACATGCGTTGTAACGGTTTATTACAAATGCATTTTATTTAACATAATTGGTTAATAAATACTTTAGGCTAGACAATTCGACTTAAATATTTGAGGAGATAACTTTTGCATACTTCGATTTTTTGCAATTGTCCTTGCTTTCTACCCGTTATAACTACTTTGATTATGCATACGGTGGAATTCTTATAAGCATACTGACTTTTGCAACCTAATTAAATTCCTCCACTTACCGCTTGACCACTTCGATTACAGCTTTCAATTAAACAGTTTAATTAACTTATCAAAATACGTATTACGATTACGTTAAATCGATTTCTTTCTAAACCAATCAAGCTAATCCTGAGTGCCAAATGTCGTACTTAATTTATTTTAACAAACTCGCCTATTAATCGGAATGTACATATAACTACACCTATTTATGCAAATGTTTTTTACAGTAAAATTCTAGCAATCTACATATTTTACATCTCCTATGAAATAACCTTTCTCCTCTTGACCAATGCCAACGACATGGTTTGATTAATGCAAAAATTTTGCATAACCAATGGCGTCCCTTCATCGATAAAGTTTGATCCGAACTTTATCTTGAGGACGTTACAGGCACGAATTTGTCTCTTTGCCAGTGCCCTTCTGCATCTGCCCACTGTTCTCTTTTGCACCGCGATCTTCATCTTTTGCGACGCCACGTTCACTCTGGACGCCAACGTGATGACGAGAATATTGTTCATCCCTGCACACACCGCCATTACGGGAAAGATCAGAAAGGCCGGCATGGAGATATCAGCATGGAACGAGATGCAGACGTAGAACGCGAGTATTTCAATGGCCGGGACGCAAAACATGGTGGCTGGCACGATCCTTGGCATCAGGAAGGCGTTGAAGGACTTTTCCAAGATTTGAATGCAGCGGTACAAGTGGATACAGTCGTCCTTGTTGGAGTCGTTCTCAATTTCGGAAATTTTGCTGACGAGAAAAAATTGCATACATTCTTCGGAGAATGCAATATTTTGTCTAGTATATATTAGGGTTCTTATGTATGTATATATTTACAATGGAGGTCTCCCAGCGTACACTCCCTGATTGTGATCAAACTGGTGTCCAGCGAATGCCAGCGATCACAAATTTAATTAATATAAAATCTATCTGTCATTGACAGACTGTCAGACTGCAGGTCTGGCAGAGATATTTGCATTCAAATAGTAAAAACGCATAATAGTGTTGACAAATTGTATACTTTCCTAATTTTCGTTGCGTTTTCTCCTCTTTGGATGCAAATATGTATCTCTACCAACCTGCGCATTGGCAGGTAATGTATTTTGAAAATTTTGTATTAATTAAGCTTGTGCTAGATTGACACTAGTTTCTTCAAAATCTGAAGGCATACGCTGGAAGACCTCCTCCATTAATTTTTTAAGCTTGAAAGCTTCTGACAGTTGTTCACCAAAGTATTTATCGGAAACATAAATTTAGGTTTCTAAATTTTGTATTGGCTTAATTTTGGACAAAACTATCTTGAATTTAGCAAACCCGTAGCTGATGGAATGACAAATTTCTGGGAAAATACAATTTATTATGGTTTATGCATTAAAATTAGACCCTTTTTTTGTGTCATGTTGAATTGGGTCTAATGATAATATACCAAAAAGAACTATAATTCATATTTAGTATACTGATAAATTACCTTTCCAGTACTCGAAAGTAGTCCAAGATGCACACAATTCCGACGAAGAGGACGTAGAACATCCAAGTGGTTCCTGAAATAATGGTGTTCAAAGACATCCAAGCTTCAAAAATGTGCAAGCATAATTTGACCACGCGGTGAAGGAGGGTGGGATCACATTTGACACAGCCAGGAAACATGGAGAGGATGTAGGGCGGCATGCAGGGGAGAAGTCTCAACAGGAAGAACTGAAGAATGGGATACGCCACCACGCCCACTTCTACCGTCAAGACGAACACTTTCATCACCTTTGTCGCCATTGAGATGGGTACTTGTGGGAGTTCTGTTCAAACAAAATATTAAAATTAAGAATTGTCCCCTTAGTGAAAGTGTCAAGGTTCCCCATATTTATTCAGTTTAACAAGTTAAAATAGTTTCCTGCGCCTTGCATTTCTTGCAGGCCAAAATATGTATGATCTTGATTCGTTTTCTCGATAGTTACTTTACTTATTATCAACATTACAAAATGCACACCTTTGAGTGCTGACGTCCATTACTAATTTGGTAAAATGCTGGACTAGATTTTATGAAGTCATCTACAAAAAATCCATTTTCTTACTTGACATCACTTTCTCCTCAAAGTCCAGAAACGAATGGATGACTTGCATTGATCCGATGTCCAAAGAATAGTTCCACTGCATCAGGAAAGCAGCCATGTACACCATCAACAAACCGAATCCCTGCAATCTTCCCGTCATCGTTAACGGTCCCACGCATAGATTTGCCAACATTGCGAAGCAATACATGATGGATAGGATGCATTGCAATCGAAAAATTCGAATTTGTAGTAGAGACCGAGTTGTAATTAGGCGTCCAGACTTCTTGTCAAATTCAAATGGAATGCATTTCAACTTGGTGCAAAACCGGATGCGGTATTTTAGCAAGGGGATGAATTCACTTTTATACATTTTTTAAGGATTCCGAGAACTTTTAGGCAAAAATTGAGAGTAGAGGGGAAAATGGTGACTAAATAATATTTCATGATTGGTAGGCACAAGTAGGTAGGTACATTTAATCTTGATTAAAATCTGGTCTGGTGTTTACGCCACGGGTTGAGATGAAAAGCCTGTATTAAGTGATAATCGACTAAAGAAGGCCGCAATTAATTAACTTTGTCGTTAGAATATTTCGTTACGAAATAAAACAATAGTTAACACTGCGAGAAATTGATTGGATGGGTTATCTAAGTAGTTTACGAAACGTAGTAAGTAAGTTTTCTTAATCTTATTTTGCAATTTTGACCCTTGTACGTACTTTATTTGGTAATCAAAAATAGACACTTGGACATTACATATATTGAAGCCAGGAGGAGCGATCCATAAACGATGTCAACGGGAGAGGATATGTAGTAGGCTAGTTGTTCACATGGTATAAATTTTTAGTGAATATGGAAGGAAAGAAGATTAGAAATTGCAAATTATCCTCGATTTGTGGATTGTCTCTCTCACGAACGCGAAATTTCAGGATATAATTTTCAACTATTGCGTTATGTATGTAGATATGATATGCGTGAATTAAAACAAATCTAATTAGAATTCAAGAACTATTATTGTAATTATTAGACTAAATAGTTATCTGGTTGCAAACAGTCTCACAAACTATTCCATACTGTTTCGGGGTTTTCCTAGTTATCGTTAGATCAAGAAGTCATCTTTCCTACAGACTACTAATTAAGGATGAACCAATTATCCCCTCACGATCTTTACTCTACTAAAAGTACTTTCCGTTGCTTTTGTCTATTTCTAAAAAAATGTTACACATTTGTTGTTAAATTAAACTTTTAGTATAATTTTATAAAGTCCTATTACATAGGTCTATTAGTAATTTACTTGGTTGATAATATCGATTTGTTGCACAATGTTAATTATACATTTTCAAACTGAATGAATGGTGTCATCGAGGATATTAGGGGTTAGTCCAGCGATCGTCTTACAATTCACATATTGTCAATATTTATTTTATCTTATCTATACGCATAGTAATTCACTTCGCGGTATCTACTCGTAGAAAACTGATATCTTAACGAAAATGTAGGAAACAAATAATTCAATTAGTACATACTATTATCAACTATAACTATGTTATCAGGATCAGGTCATGATAAGTGAAAAGAAAACTGTCCTTCAACCATCGCAAATTTTACACGTTCCCTCAAAATCTCGATGCTGGAATAGTTCGGAAGTTTCAAATAGTTGGCACACGTCATAACTGAGGGAAGCCAAGTGTCCACGTTGCCATCTAGGTCTGCGTCCGATTTATGAACAATAGTCAGACTGGGTCGAAGTGACCGGAAACCTGAAATACATACCAAATCCAATTAAAAACACAAATCTTCATAACTACCAAGTTACAATTTCACACCCACCTCCAACAGGCAGTCGAGGAGATCCAGTAATAAACTTGAGAAAATTACGTCTCTCTTCCCCAGTGAATTCTGACATTACTTTGAAAAGCCAACGGATTGGATCAGAATTCTCCGTGTATCCGTGGTCGGGCTTACAATACTTGGATAGCGAGTCATACCCCCAGTCAACCTGTTATCAATCAAACCAATCAATAAATATAAATCACATATAAAACTTTACAGTCAACCTGAAATTATAAATCTTTACTTTGTCATGATTTAATGACATTAATTGCATCAATTTAGTAGTACCCTCACCTCATCGTCTCCATCATCACCTGAAAATAAACCCCTCAGTTCATCCGGCGTGAATATTTCCAACTCTGAGCATGGAAACACACAATTGAGACCCTCCTTAAATGCAGAAATTTGTTGGGAAACTCCCAATTTTGTAGTCCACTGGCACACCAACTGAAACATTTAATCAAATTTATTGATGTACAATTACACTTAAGCTGATACACTTCATATTAGAATCCGTGGGCATCTCCGTTTTATGTATTACCGCATTCTTATAATATTTGAAATATATATTATTAGATTGAAATATGGATATTATTAGATTGAAATATTTTAATATATGTTTATCGTTTACCTCCAGGTATTTCTGGATATTGCCCTGCTTGACTGGGAGATCTTCCCCATTTTTGACTACCTCGACTTCGGGATACCCGGGCAGTACGTGACAAAGAGACATTTCATCCACCCAGTCGCCTCCTCCTCGCTCCTCTCGCAGTAAGTTGTGCACACTTCTGGCCAATGTGGCATCAATAAGGCCAAGTGATGTCCAGCAATTAACGTCCTCTTGAACCAGGAGTTTGTAGAAGGCAGGTGACAACCTCATGTCGATCTAAGGAGACAAATTCATGTACATTATAAATAGTGAACATAGTTTATTGGGGGTATTTATTACGAGTTTGCATTGTTATCAAAGTTGGCAAGAAACTAAGTTTGCAAGTCAGCAAAAGAGGATTGACTCAAAAATTCATTTGCTAGCTTGAGTATCTTTAAGACTAGTATTCAGATCGAAAGTTCAGTTAGTTGTTCTAGTGAACTTGTACTCCATCGATTTTCATAGAGTTAAAAAATGATAAAATGTGACATACCCTTCTCCGATCATACACCGCTTTGCCTACAAACATCCCCAAAAATTTGAACCACTCTTTCAACTCAGTTTCATCCGGTGCACCTGATCCTATCGGCTTAGGAAACAAGCCCTCCACAAGTTCGCCATCGCGCTGCCTCCATATGTTCTTCAGCCCCTTCATCTCTTGGGAGACTAATGTATAAAATTCTAAACTTGGACCTTGGCCGAATCCTTCTTCCTCTTCGTATCTAATATCCATCGTTGGTCTCCACCTCTTCACGTCAAACATTACACGTTTGGCTTCAGATAAAATGCTCTGTCTTGAAACGGTCACAGTTTGCTTCTGCTTGGACAACTTTTCGTAGTAAAATATGAAGATTTTTGTTTCGAGATCCAACAGAAAGGGGTAACATTTCGTGAACCGATCCACACTTTTAATGGACGATTCTTCCACCCGACACTTGAGTCTGGCAGAGATTTTCTCATTGACGAAGTCTGATGACGGCAAAAGTGGGAGGGATTGAGCACCGATATGTAATTGTAGTTTTGTAGGAAGCAGGTCTGCATAGTTTGTCACGAGGAGATGAATTTTTCTGAGCAGGGGGAGTAAACTGGCCGAGGGGTGGGATGTGCTTTTGGTTGGGTCTGAGATCTTGGTCGATGTTGAAGGATGGCCAGTTTCTTGCAATTCGTGTGATTTGCCGACATGTTTTTGTGGGGAAGATTTAATGGCAAAACTGTCTTGCACGTAGCTAGTTTGGGAAACGCAGTGTTGAAGTACTTGCACTAAGTTTGATAATGGGGTCGTTACCGGAGTGAAATATTCCACATTCTCTGCACCGATCTAAATACATTAGATGGGACAAATAAAGCATGTTTATATTAAAATTACATAAATTTTTGCTGGAAGTGTTTGGGGCGAGAGAAGCGAATTTATGTATGTATCTAAATGAACTTCGTAGTAGTTCTTGGCTGTTAATGTTACTTCATCAAAATGGGCCATAAAATAGAAATTAATGTTCGTTATATTTACATACCGCACATCCAGCAAAAGCGTTAAGGAAGCTGATTCGTCTTTCTTCATTATTGTCAGAATTTGTCAAGTAACTCAGCAAAGCTTGGGTCAAATTCGAGTTCATAATATCAAACGATGATATATGTTTGGTAAAGGCATTGGCCAATGATTTTAGCGAATCCTAAATACATTTGATTAGAAAATTTAAGAATTATAACTTAATTAACTCAATCGCCTGAAATATCACATTAAATCCGTACATCATTTAACTCTTCAAGGTTATAAAGTTCTCCAAGGTTGTTATCTTTGATGGTTTTCAATTCTGGGAGAGACTTGTACGTTTCCCAAAATTCGGCACATTTGAGCCTCAGTGTATTCTGTTTCTCCATCCCCGGCACAATTTCTGCATCCTTTTTTCGATAAATTTGCTGGAAAACTCCTGAAAAAGACAAGTTAAAAAAAATTCGTTTAAACATTAGTATAATTCGCGGTGTCTCTCACTAATAATTAGTAATATGTAATCAACATTAACCATTATTATGATGATGAGGTGAATCATGGAGCAGCTTTTAAGCTTTAAAACATTTACTTACCCGCCAATTTCAAATTGCGATGAATTCCCACTTCTTTAAAATCCATCATGGCGCAAACGAATGTAACCGAGGATGAGACCATCTCCAAATCCGACGAGTCTAACCCGGTTGCCAACACGTTGCTTATCTGCTTCCAATTCATGCAAGTACCTCTATCTTCCCTTTCTACGAATGGCAATAAACTTACAATGCCCTTCAGACAATAACTTTTGACTGTAGGGCAGTCAGCCAGGTTATGGTTTGCGATTAATTTTTCTCCAATCCCTTGCACAATCTGACGACACGTGGTTGAGCTGCTTGACAAAATCTGGTTCCGCTGGGCCATTTCGCTATCTAAATATTATTATAAATATTAGTTAACTTAACCTAAAATTTCTGACGAATTTATGTAATTAATCACTACCATTGCCAAGTAGGCCATGGTTTGGTAATAGGCATAACATGAGACCAACAACGCCCACTATCATGCCCTTATCCCACCGGGTCAAAATTTTCATTAGACACCATAGAACATCATACTGCAAGAGGGATGTCCTTGTTTCCGGAAATTGGGAAGCTATTTTTTCCAACATTTTTAAAAGTCCGAGAATAAGTGATTCGTCAGTGATTTCTTGTCTTGAGAGCTAAAATGAACATATATAAAAATATGTTTGTTTGTTAAACCACAAGCATCTCGATATTATGAAAAATAGAATAAAATTGTAGAAAATATTTACAAAAATATCTAGAAACATACCAGACCAATAATATTCTGGAGACAGTCAGATGAGCATACAATTTCTTTGAATCCCTCTGGACACGTGGTCGCATAATTGTCCAATAAGCTATGGAATATTTTTGCGACTTTTGAAACAATTTTGACATCCTCCCGCCAAGAGATTCTTCCCGCCAGAAGTACCAGATGTACATACACAGTTTCAAATTCTTCTGGGAGAAGCCCTTCTATGCAAACGCCAACGACGTGTAAGGCTTTGATTTGGACACGGACTTGGTGAAAATCAAGGAATTCGAGACATGCTGGTATCCCGCCCTAAAATAAAATTGGAAAATCAAGTCATTATTTATTTTGACAAATTATAATACACACTCATTAACATTTGTGCACCGAAATTTGCCAATTTTTAGTCTTATATCCCGCTCAAATTCACAATTTTTACCATATTCACGCGTTTTCTAACCTGTTCGCGAACAATTTCAGCATGTTTCTCCACCAAAAGTTTCAACGATGCTATTCCCTCCTCCGCCACGTCAATTGACGTCACTTTCTCCACCGCGGAAATCAGTTCAGGTACGACTTGCGCTGCTTCCCCCGTGGAAACAGAGCTCGGAATGGCTTCGAAGAGGAATCGCAATCCGCGAGCTCCTTGGTACCTGACTTGATCATTGTTCTGTGTTCCCATGCAGTCTGAAAGTGCTAAGATGGCAGGGCCCACGGGAAGCAGGTTGATTTTCTGACGATTTCTCACGGTTCCACCCAGAAAAATATGACTTAGCTCCATCAGCGCTTGCAGTCTTAAACTTTCGTGCTCTCCGGATTGCAATCCTTCCATAATTTTCGTCACTTTAATTAAACGGAGGACAAATTTATAAGGTTGTAAGTATTGAATTGGATTAATACAGTAAGATTGCTTTGACAAAAGGAGCCCCGATATTTTGCGCTCGAGCATATGTATATATTCCCATTTTTCTTTGTTGGAAACCAGAATTTTGCTCTGTTGGTATACAGACGGGGAGCTCGCTCGCTGGATGCGAATTTGACCTTGAATAACCCCGGAACGGTTTGTCAAAATTTTGAACAGACAAACATATTGTCCTGAACAAGTTTTGGGCAAAATTCCAACCCTCTACTTTCAAAAATGCCTCCCCCACAGCCCTCAGAAGTTGATACAGCCATTTCAACTTTTTCCAACAAAAATCTCACGTGTTTTTTCAAAAAAAATTATTTAAATTTTCTGTTGAGGAATGAGAGTGAGTTTTTGGTGCCATTTGACGAAGCACTAATTTTTCGACTACAAGTTACTAATTGAGTTCGAAGAGCTTACTACACGACAAATGCCGACAACAATTCACGAAAGTTGGTCCCCGTGATTAGGAGAACGTTTTTAAACAGTTTATAGTTGTGGGTGCAACGTCGGGTCGTGGTGTCCTCTCACTTATCAAAGTCCCCAAAAAGTGAAGGAACCTACAAAGTATTATGCGGACCGAGTATTGAAACCACTTTTAGAACATTTTCCTAAATTGTGCGGTAAAAAAATAAATAAGGTGACTTTTCATGACCACGCAACGACTTCCCAGACGGCAAAGTTCACCCAAGATAATGCAAAGGACCTTTAAGCTAGATTAGGGATAAAAATCATTTGGAATAGTGAAATACCTGTAAAATCCCCCAATGTAACTCACATGAACTTAGAGTGAGTCCTATAGGAACCGCGTCAGCAGATAGTTTAATTACAGAGTTTTCAAAAATAAGTTTAGAAATCCGAAATTGGTGCAGAATATGCTAAATATATCTGACCACGCACCACAAAATTTCGTAAGTTTTCAATGAAACAAATTTCCTACACCGTTTCAAAGCGAGGAACTCGAGAATCGAGTTTTTGTAAGTATCAAAATTTGAGTGACAACGACTCGAAAAATATGTACTTGACTACATTTAAACGGAGAAGGGCTTGGCCGTGCAAGAATTAAGACAGGAAAACGTATAGAGAATCGGAAATGCGATCTCAAATACGCACCATGAGTAAAAACCATCATAATCACCCCTTGAAAGTTAAAAACGATTGAATTTATTTTTGGAAAGTATAGTGTTGCCGGTGAGGTGAGTTGAGGTGAGGTGAGGCGAGTTTTCTGAACAACTCACCTCACCTCATATTTAAGTGAGGTGAGTTGGGCTTGTGAACAACTCACCTCATCCTCACATTAAGTGAGGTGAGGTGAGGTGAGTTGTGAGTTTGGGTGATCTCAACCCACCCCAACCCATATGCTGGCTACACACGCTTCAACTCGTGAGTTGCCTCACAACTCACCTCACCACAATCTGAGCTAACTCATTCACAAGTGAGGTGAGGATTGGCCCAACTCACCTCACCTCAAACTCACAAGTGAGTTGAGGTGAGTTATCCTCACCTCACCGGCAACACTAGGAAAGTATCACTCCACGTCCATGCCTGATGCGGCCAAGAAGGCAAAGATTAATACAAACTACGTGCATCATATTAAGGCCCATAAATTGCGGGTCAAAACGTATGCAAAATAATCTTCACCAAAATAACTATGCGGAGGGTCAAGAAAAAATGGTAAACGCCAGACTTCCCAAGCAATTTCACCAAAAAAGTTGGACAATCCGCGAAATTCCAAATTCCAAATTTTTTGGACGAAATTTTTAGTGATCTGGTTCCTATAGGACTCGCTCTATCTGGGGTCGGACACTTGAAAAGAAAAATTTTCTTCGGAGACCACATTTTTAGGCGGAGTTTGGAAAGAGTTGAAACGAGTGTCTCAACTTCTGGGGGCTGTGGGGGAGGCATTTTTGAAAGTAGAGAGTTGGAATTTTGCCCAAAACTTGTTTAGGCCAACATGCTCGTCTGTTCAAAAGTTTGACCCGTTACGACAAACCGTTCCGGGGTTATTCAAGGTCAAATTCATATCCAGCGGGGCGAGCTCCCCATCTGAAGTCATGCAGGTATTGGTTTGATTGTATTAAAATTGCTACCCCTTGATATTAGATTTTACGAGTCCGTAAACATTTGTTACAGATATGGTAAAACTTAAATACCGACACATTACTACACACTATTAAATATTCAATTTGGTAATAGCGTCCTAAGGGATTTGGTAGCAAGTGGTTTGTTTCTGATTGATAAATTTTAGATTGTAACACTCTAAAAGTAAGCAAAAGTTACTCTATGTTGAGTACAAAAAGACACAACCAAAAAGTAAAATTTATCCAACCGTTGTGCAAAATTTATCCAACGGATGGATAAATTTTGCCTTGTGGTTTTGTCATCTCCTTTATTACCCAACCTTGAGTAAGTTTCACTTAAGTTTCTAGTATTTTTATTTAGAATGTATCAATACCACTTACAGTGCGATGGTGTGAAGTGTAACCCTCCAATTTGGTTGAAATTTCGAAATTGCGTGGCCCATTTCAATATAACCAACGTTTCTTCCGTCAGTTTGTGCGATGGTCAGAATTTGCGAAAATATTTAAGGACAAAGTTAAAAAATATCAGCGATTTTTAGCACGCGAAGGGAATTGAAGTTGAGTTTGCTTCCTCCGCGGTAAAAATTGCCCGTTTTTCAACTTTGCCCTCAAATATATTGCCAAATTCTGACCATCGCAAAAACTGCCCGAAGAAACGTTGGTTGTGTTGACATGGACCATATCATTTCAAAATTTCAACCAAATCGGAAGGTTACACTTCATACCATCGCATTATAATGCAGAGTCATACAAAAACACCGATTGGTATTACATATTTTAATACAGGATTTCTAAGAATGTGTCTTTTTTTTCAATAATAACTTGCAATGTAGGCCTCCTAATGTATGCTCTCATATTTGGACCAAACTGTTGTCAATCCATCACAAATTAAATTAGTCCGAAATTTGCAAATGGCACTAGCCAATTCGAAAGTTTGGCGAAGATATTTGCATAAAAATAGGATAAAACGCGCAGTAAATTTGGGAAGTGTAAAATTTGCCGACCTTAGGGGTGCATTCTCTCCTCTTTTTATGCAAATATCTCCGCTAGGGTTGCCCAGGGTACCGAGTGGTTACCCGGTACCCGGCATACCCGGCCTGTTTTGGGATACCCGGTCTACCCAGCCGGGTAATTTCAATATTCAATTTAAATGCAAAACCTTACAAAAAATGTAAGCCGATGGATTTCATTTTTGTACGTCGTATAAATAATATATTTGGAAAGAATGGGTACAACCTTGGCCAACACTTATTTGGAAATTATCATATAAATTTTAAAATTACTTTGAGCGCACTGAGTCAATTTGCATATCTCGCACATTAAACACAACCTCCGAAGTTTTTAGAAATTTGCAAGATTTCTCAAAGCTTTTGCTAAAAAGTAATTGCTTTTTTGCAATATTATTTCTCAGACTCATCCTGGCGATGATCAGCGAGAGTAATTACGAGTATCCATGACAAAAAGAACAAAATAGACGTCTTTAGTTGATTTGCTAGACTTTCTAAGCCCTATCTTGCTAATCCATTCGCAGAATATCACCTCGACAGTCTGGCCAAATTTATTTTGTGCGGGGATTAGAATCCCCTCAAGAAATAACTTTTTTAAGCATCACAAGTTTGCTAAATGATCTCGGTGATAAATAAGGCATTGTCGTGAGTCAAACAAGATTCTTTCATTTATTTCTACTTTCTAGCCCGAAGCATTAGCCTGAGAAGTTGAAATTTTTACCATATGCATATTGAACAAAGACATAGGTAGGAGACAAGTTCAAAGATAGGCTACATCGGTCACCTAGTTGACCTGTGGGGGTCGTATCGGATTGGGGGAGCAAATGTAACCATAGGGAAGGCGACCCATACGAATTTTTACAAAATATTACTTTAATCTGAAATTTTGTACGCAGGTTAAAAATGAAGTCTGCACTGTAGAAATTTAACTTGCAATTTTTGAAACTTATAAAATTTTTGCAAATTCTAGAAAAGTAGAAGGATTATCGTTATTTTTAATATATAAATATTACCCGGTTGCGGGCGGGGTAGCCGAGTACCCGGCAAAAAATTTAGGCCGAGTACCGGGTAGCCGGGTACGGGGTAGTACCACTACCCGGGCAACCCTAATCTCGGCTTGAGCATTGGCAGATCGTGTCATTTGCAAATTTCATACTAGGTAATTAAATTTGTTATCGATTGACGCCAGTTTGCTCAAAATCCGTGAGCATACTTTGGGAGACCTCCATTGTTAGTAACGCTCAATGCAAAAATTAACATTAGCACATACCGTGTAATCGAGTCTCTTCCCTCGCCGCGAGTTCGGGATCAACATTTGCTGCTTCTTGGGGCGCTTGCCCATCCTCAACCACAGCTTCTGCTGCCGCAGGGGCGGCAGCTTCTTCGACCACTTCCACTCTCTCCGCCGCCGATGGCAAATTCCTAAAGAAAATATTACATTTAAATTCCAATCGAAATATTTTACTAATAAATACTTTGTTAAAATATTCGACGCACTCTGCGTAATTAGCTTCGCCTCCGGAAAGCTCCAAGTATCCAAGGGCATCCATGATATTTCCCATGGGTCACTTCTCCCCTCCAAACAATTTATTCAAAAAATTTGTAAATAAACAAAATTGTCACGTGTAACTACTGGGTTCGACTGTTTTCAGGTCACATAAGTGGCAGACTGAGGAAATAATGGTAACGGAACGGGACAGAAGGGTTCCTCACTTGCAGGAAACTGAACCCTTTTCAGGTACATTCCTCGTTAAAGGTTCGCATTGGTTATGAAGGGAAGTATATTTAGCTTGACTTTTAAAAAGGATGTGTGTAAATATGAGTTGCCCCTAAACTTGGCTTTAAAATTCGGCATTTATGGTTTAACTTCCACCCCCACCCAAATTCACCCCAACCCCCACCCATACTCAAATTCACCCTCACCCCCACCCATACCCAAATTCACCCCCACCCCCACCCAAATTCACCCCCACCCCCACCCAAATTCACCTCCACCCCCACCCAAATTCACCCTCACCCCCACCCCCACCCAAATTCACCTCCACCCCCACCCAAATTCACCCTCACCCCCACCCATACCCAAATTCACCCCCACCCAAATTCACCCTCACCCCCACCCATACCCAAATTCACCCCCACCCAAATTCACCCCCACCCCCACCCATACCCAAATTCACCCCCACCCCCACCCAAATTCAGCCCCACCATCACCACCACCCAAATTCTTACCGCCAGCCAATTCTACCCCCCGCCCAAATCCACCCCCATTCGACCCCCACAATTTTTATGGGGTACCGTGAGATACCTTGGGGTAACGTGAGATTTTATTTCATATTGGGGTATCGTTCGGTTTTTAGTGAGCGAAGCGAGCAGATTATGTACAACTAGGTACGGGAAGTGTAAAATGCTTAGTTAGCCAACCTAGCTAGCTAGGCTGGATGTAACCTAGCCTGTTATTCTAGTTACAACCTAGCTAGCTAGGATAGATACCGCCTAGGTAGCTAGCTAACCCAGCGAACTAGGCTAGGTAGCTCTGCAATCTAGCTAGGCTAGGTAGCTCTGCAATCTAGCTAGGCTAGGTAGCTCTGCAATCTAGCTAGGCTAGGTAGCTCTGCAATCTAACTAGGCTAGGTAGCTCTGCAATCTAGCTAGGCTAGGTAGCTCTGCAATCTAGCTAGGCTAGGTAGCTCTGCAATCTAGCTAGGCTAGGTAGCTCTGCAATCTAGCTAGGCTAAGTAGGTCTGCAATCTAGCTAGGCTAGGCAGCTCTGCTAACTAGCTATGCTAGGTAGCTCTGCTAGCTAGCTAGCTAGGTTAGGTAGCTCTTCCAGCTAGGTTGGCTAGCTAACAGTGCAGAATACCAAGCTGGCTCATACTCCTCCTGGTTACATACCTTCAATGTATTAGACTTTCGGGCCGGTTAAAATTCTAGATGCCCATAGGGACTTAATTTATTTTTTACGGTATTGGGCTAAAATTCAAAATTTAAGCATTTGTGATCTTCCTATGCATGACAAATCGTCGAATGTTGAAAAAACTGAGCTTTTTATACATAGGAAGGGCAAAAATGCTTATATTGTAAATTTCAACCCAATCGCCCAACTCCAAGTAGGGCGGCCTTAGCATGGCGAAAAACAAGTCAAACGATGAAACAACTTGTTTTGTCATGCATAGGAAGATCACAAATGCTTAAATTTTGAATTTTAGCCCAATACCGCAAAAAATAAATTAAGTCCCTATGGGCATCTAGAATTTTAACCGGCCCGAAAGTCTAATACATTGAAGGTATGTAACTAGGAGGAGTATGAGCCAGCTTGGTATTCTGCACTGCTAGCTAAGCATTCCCCATTTTTCTCGTACCTAGTTGAACCTAACCTGCTCGCTTCGCTCGCTAAAAAACGAATGATACTCCAATATTAAATACAATCTCAAGTTGCCCCAAGGTATCAATTTAACTGTCAATTTAATTTAGGCTGTCAATTTAACTTTTGGGTGAGATATGAATGGTTAGAATTTACAATGGGAATCTTGTTCCTATTTGAAGTAACATTTCGTTAAAACGTGTACATACCTACAAATACGTTTATATACGTTAGTCGTTTATACGTTGATGCATAAATGCATACATATTGTATTTATCTTACGTATTGTATGTTACAGGGATTTATAAATGTGTTTCTATTTAGATACTTACACACATTTGAAGACTGCATACGTACGTATGTATATATGGCTATATGCATAAAGTGAATAACGCTTTTTGTAATAACAAGACACATAAATACACATGTATTTGTTATATTCTAGTAGTGTATACAGTCATAGATAATGTATATGACAATTATTATTGACTCATAAACATAAATGTGTTATATGCACTAAGAACAACATATATGTATGCTGCATACGTATATATGTAGGTATGTATGTATGTACATTTATTTTATTAATCTTTTATTACCCATGTCCAGAAAAGTCGAGGCATCACAGAGATTGACAGCTTTCATCACTATCCAACCCTTCCACTAAGGAATCGTGCACCTCCCTTAAACCCGTCCATTTTCTCAGGATTTTAACGGCTTGACAAATTTAAAAAGAGTTCATTGCACCCTTTCTGAACTTATGTACATATTTACTAATGTCAGTGTGCACTTGGGATAACGTTGTGTATTGTTAAAATTATACAGACACATATTTAATATTCATGCAGACATACATACATATATATGACCCGCATTTGAAGACTTATCTCAGACATACATATAATTAATTTTTATATTTATTTTACTCAAACATAAATGCATTACTTAAATGTCATATTTTTTGGGAGACAAAACTTAATCAAACTAGTTTTAACAGTTGATGCAATCTAAATTCAATCTTATCACTTGTTTTAATCCTAAGTGCGTGTATCAAAGTTAAAAAATTTGTTGAGAAAAAAATTTCTTAGTAATAGGCTTGTAATATATATGCTTACTTAGGCAAAATTGTCTGAAATCTACTCATTCTCAGCTTATGTGCATATTTCTATACAAATGCACTTACACACAGTACGCATAGATGTATGTACATCCAGACAAACAGTTTTATTGCATTGCAAAAGTCGCGTCTTCCATGTCATATTTACATTACGGTTGTCCGTTGAAAATTATTCTTTTTGTGTATAATGTTCACATGCAGATATTATCCTTTACAGATACATGGGACCAGTACAGGCGTATGTACTAATACTAATACGTATGTATGCACATATTTATGTACAATCTGCACACATTTTCACCACTGGAGTTAACAAAGAATTTAACCCTTTCCCATCTTGTATATGGATGGCATACAATAAATCGATCCAACCAACTAAATGCAGACGAGGGAACCCGAGATATAATAAATAAATCCTCTCTGCTTGCAAAATACATATGTTCGACTAAACTTCATGAAAAGTAAAGTAAAATCAGTGGGTATATAGTTAAAATATAAAATACATGGTCAGGTAAATACAATTTTCGTAATTTTATTAATTTAAAAGCTGAACTGATTTATTAGTAAATTTGAGAGTAAATTGAGAGACAAATAATTCACGAACTTCTGATCTTGGGTACAATTTACATAATATTTTATATGTACCAGTCAAAGCCATTTTATTTCATGTGATTCCTAATTTATTATTCAAATTCATATATTTAAATATGCATGTATGTACTTATGTACGTATGTACATTTACGCAGAATCATATTTGCAAAATAATGAGTATTTAAATAAAGCGTACGTTCGTACATATGTATTTCTTACCGTGAAAAGATTTTATTAAGTAACATACATATATATGTAAAACTGTAATGTCATGAAATTCTACCTACACTTTACATAAAAATAACTAAAATTTGTCCAAGGTTGAGTAAAATAGGGAATGACACAATAATTGGAAAAATTTATCCAAGGGATAAATTTTACCCAATTGCGATGTCATCCTGTATTTTACATACTCAACCTTGGGCAAATCTCGTTATTTCTAACTAAGCTGCATTAACTGAAAAAGATGAGAATTTAATACTTTTACCCGATTTTAATTCAGATCATCGCCCCCCTCATAAAAATGGATTCCACCTCGATCCTCCTCGGCTGTAAAAGCGTCGGTAATACCGCCTTCGCCCAAAGAAATTATGGCAAAGCGATCCGCACCTACACCCAAGGACTGACCCTCCTCCCCTCCAACATCGACCTGCTCTCCAACCGCGCCGCCGCTTATCTCAACTACGGCCTGTACTCGTTAGCCTTGCACGACGCCGAGACCGTCCTCTCGACCGACCCAACCCACGAAAAATGTTTGTACCGCAAAGTTAAAGCACTCTGGGGCTTATCACGATACCACAAAGCGCACCAATTTACCGAAAAATTCAAAATTCCTTCCCTCGCGGACAAAGCAGCCATAACGCTATCCCAAAGTCTCGGTCATATCAAGGCCTCCACCCTAATGTCCCTCCCACACCAGGCCCGCCATGAGATTGCCGATTACCGCGGTCCCATCGAGATTGTTCCAATACCGGGAAAAGGACGCGGAATCGTGGCGACGGAAAATATCCCGGTCGGATCACTCATAATTTGCAGTAAAGCATTTTGCATCGTGTTCGACCAAGACGTCCAAGATTTCAAGAACTTTCACCTTAGAGATAAAAGTGTCGAGCTCGAGCACACCGACGCGTTGGGCGGGCTTATCTATGATAAGCTACAACTTGATCCATCCCTAAAATCTGAGCTACTAAAGCTATACACAGGTCAGCAAGAATCTCAATCAAGTGACGATATCACTCTAACAATTCGAAATATTATTGACTATAATGGCTTCACTTCTAAGCGAGATGATTCCTTGATTAGCATGGGAAATCCAAATTTTGCCGGGTTATGGATCCTCCCATCCTACTTAAACCATTCCTGTCTAGATAATAATGCAAATTACGCCGTGTACGGGGACATTTTGGTTGTTCGCGCGGTTAAAAATATTCCCAAAGGGGACGAGATATTAATTAGTTATTGGCAAGCGACCGTCCCGGGAAGAAGGGAGGTCATGAAGGCGCGTAATTTTGAATGTGGTTGTCGCGCTTGTAAAATGGAGGATGAAGAAGATCCTTTAATCAAGGCGGAAATTGCTCAATTACTGCAGCAAATTAGGGAAAGTTTGGTATCTCCAAGCTCAGATTTACCTGCCACAACGAACCGAAATTTTGACCGTGTTCAAAGGATAGTGAAATTAAGGAAGAAAAAATACGGAGATACGAATATGGCTCTACTTACGCCGGAAGTGGAAATGGTGGGGGCCGCGCTATCCGAGCGGCACGATACAAAGGGGTGCATCTTCATTTTAGAAAATATGCACAAAGTGTGCAAAAATAATGGATTCGTACTTTCGTCCGTGTACCAAGCTATGAATCTTTCTTCGCATTGGCGGCAAATGAACAAGGTTGAGGAGTGGATTGAGTGGGCGGAACAATTTAGAAAAAATGTCATCGCAGCGTGTGGGGATTTTGATGATGGTTTGATTGCATTGAAAATTGATCCTGAATGTTCAGCCATACAGGCTCAAACGGATAGATAAATATATAAATACATAATTAGCTACGAATGAGAATTATGAAATTTGAGATGGTTTGTGTATATTTTGTCAAAGTACCACATTATTTACTTCTAAAAGTTTTTTGCTGTGTAAAAAATACTTTCCACAAATGTTGTGATTACAATGTTATAAAAAGTTCAGAAATTTATGACGTATTATGTAAATAAAAAAGCGGATTTTTAAGTATGATGCAAATGCACTTTAATAATAATTTTGTTGATTTAAAAAACAAAATTTCATCTGGTCTTCCAAACAGCATCTATATATTGCTTCCTCTCAATAATTATACAAATTTATTAAGAATATGTAACGAGCCTGTCATAGTATTTTTAGTACCAGTGTCTTAAACTAGACGTCATAAAGACGATAGAAACGTCACAAATTTTGAGTCACAACTTGTGGAATGTTTCCACGTAACAAACATCAAACAAAGGATTGGATTCTTATGTAACACGAAATCCTTGTGTGAATATTTTCGCAGTGTTCGTTTATCTGTAAAATTGTCATGCCTCATTCACCAAGTGGCTCAAGTGTTCGTATGTACATATATATGTATGAGCTAGGAAATATTAATCGATAGACTTCTATTAGCAACCCGTATCTATGTAATGTATTTACTTAATATTTATGTATGCATGTAAGTATCAAATTGTCTTCTTCATTTGGCGTAAAAATTGTATGCGCGGAGTGAGTTGAGCACATTATTATCATTTTGCTAACATCATCAAATGTATGAAAAAGTTATGTACGTATACGCGGAATAAGTTTATATATAATGTAGGTATGTACATATGTAGAAGTGCACAAGACTGTCACGCTCTAAATAAAATGCTTAGGATTAGTAAAATTTGAGATGATACAACTGGTCGTGTCAAATTTACCCAATGAAGTTAAAATTTATAGTGAATGTTGAGTCAAAGTGAAAATCCTAAAATGAATTTTAACTTTCATAAATTTTATACAACATTGTTGTGTGATCGCAAATATTAGTCAGTCTTGAGCAAATTTTAATCAAATTCATTTAGAGTGCAGGCCGGATGAGGTTAGCAAAAGCTTTAGCATACTTTTATATCTTTAATTTTCATGTATAAGAAACTACATATTTATTTATATACATTCATGACCAGGGTTTTTAACATAATGTTTTTGTAGTGTATTTTTTTATTTTCGATGTTTTAAATACATAATGCAACCAATAAAAATTGTTCCATTGTCACAGAAGACATTCAAAATAGTCACGTATTTATAATGTCACACGTTTTTTTACTACGAAAAAATACTTTTTTTCAGCGGTAAACACATAGACGTATGTACATAAATGTATGTTTATGTATGCTTAACTAGCAAATTCTATTTTTTAAATATTTGTCCTGTACAATTACGAACGGTAAACTTGGCACAGATTATCTGGCATGATTGATTGAACTGCACTTTTACTGGCAAAAAGTACAATTTTCTTGCACCTACATAAGAGCAAATGTCTAAGGAACCCTGGACAATCAGACTTGAAGAAGGTTACTCAGAAATCAAAAGATGATTTGCGTATGCACTAACAAGTTCTATATTATGCAAGTTGGTACATATGTAAAACATCTTACATATGTATGCGTATAATAATTTTTAATTCTTTTTAGCAACATACCTAGCAACGTATTTATGTAGCTATGTATGTATTTATATAATAACAAAAAACGCCTTTAATGAACTTCACTCATGATTTATTTCATTTTGGAGTTAAACATGGTATGAGTCTGAATTTCGGAACATCTAAATATTATAAGTAATATCAAAATGTCACTCTTTTTAAATCACATTTTGTTTATTTTCTTTTTTAACAAATTTGTTACAAGTAATTCTGAGGTAAGTGCATACATATTTTACTATCCATAAACACAGTCTCGTCCTTAGTAATGAAATACATATGTACATATGTACCGTTCATTCGGAAAAGTACGGAATTAGTAGGACGAATTTTATGCAATTTTACACTTTCACTTTTCACTTAAAAGGTCCCACTTTTCCTAAAAGCAATTGCACATAAGGAATCCGAATTTGTATCATCCTTGACAATTTCGAGTTAAACAACAAAACAAGGCTAATGACAAGGACTTAAATTTCTAGGAAATATATCATTTTATTTTAAATTACTACTGTTTCCTAAAACGTCGTCTACATTTAGGAGGGGAGCTTGCGAGGTTGATAATAACAGATCTCGATGCCCTTTGGATATGTGATAGGGTCTCATGAGTGTACTAAAACCTTGAAGTGGTTTGACTCCATGGCCACATTTGCGCCCGCCACACCCACTCAAAAATGACCAAAAAACGCTTTCACTCCAGTTTTCACTCACTCAAATCCACGCCAGAAATCCAATTTTACTCGGATTTTGAAATTTCTTTCACCATTACGCTCCCAGATAGTTGTTTTCTTCAATTCCATATCAAACTCAATTTTGCTGATGATTATTTCGCAGGCGTAATTTGAGTTGTTGATTACTACAACAATCCTCATTCAGAATTTCAAATTTTAAAAATACTAAAAATTTCGAAAAAATTGGGTTTGATATTGGATTGAAGAAAGCAACTATCTGGGAGTGTAATGATGAAAGAAATTTCAAAATCCGAGTAAAATTGGATTTTTGACGTGGATTTGAGTGAGTGAAAACTGGAGTGGAAGCGTTTTTTGGTCATTTTTGAGTGGGTGTGGCGGGCGCAAATGTGGCCATGGAGTCAAACCACTTCAGGGTTTTAGTACACTCATGGGACCCTATCACATATCCAAAGGGCATCGAGATCTGTTATTATCAACCTCGCAAGCTCCCCTCCTTAGTAGCGCGTAGTTTCCTATATTTTCGTTTTATTTAGTTTAATCCCGGACTAAATAATTTACGTTACGAGATAATTTTATTATTTAATGGAATTTTTGTAATGTATGCACATTTTCAAATTATATTCTCGTAAATATGAATACGTTAAGATATTTAATTTCTAAAATATATTCTCAGGAACTTTGTGGACAGCCGAACTTTCGAATTGGACTAGATTCTCGAGGCATTCCAAAAATTTCGGTTCCTTGGGCTGCAAAAATACGATATCTAAATGATGTTGTCATCAAATCAGGCATACTTATTTCCCCCACGATGATAAGTTCTGGTAGGTGAAACTATAATCCCCTATTTAGATCACTCAATTATGCTATCTATACATGCGATAGCTGCGTTTATACTTCAATCATTACCAACTAGCGCCAATGTACTTATCTACATAATTGCAAAAAATCACCATCATTATAGCAAATACTAAAAGTATGAAATTATTATCGATTTTTTTGCGAAATTCGTATTAAATGCGGAAATCGGAAGTCGAATATGCTGATAAATATGTACATCCATACATTTACGAATAATAAATGCGTATGTACAATAATTTCTGTATTAAAGTTTTGAAGAAGTCAATATTTGTTTTAGAAGTATCATATTTCTCAAAAAAATATTAAAACTATTCAAGTTAAACAGTGCAAAGCACGCCTACGAACATACATACTTGTTTATATACTTGTTACGCTATTTAAGTACATTACCGCAATCGTACTACATATGTACATAGTCGGAAACACTCAAGTGTCAATGACATATAGCTGTATTACTTTTGTAAATTTCAACTTAGCAATTTTTGATTAATTTTACCGAAAAGCCAGATAAATTTCAATTCAAAAACAATTTCTAGTCTTAAAAATTTCCTCCTCCTACGGCAATGCCACGCTGAAGACGAGACGGCACTCCTCGATGGAATTACGCACAGATTCCAGGGACATTTTGTGGCATTCCGGGGTCAGAAATTTTTTCCAAGCCTCCGCACTTCTACGGGGCTTAGAACACACCTTTGCCCCTAACTTTGACCATTTTTCATATTCCGGTGGTTCAAATCCATCAAGGATGATGACCAATTCTGATTGGAGATAAAGACCGGAATTTGTTTTTTTAGCTACGCTTGGGTCATTTTTTGCACTATAAGTTCGTGCTGAGTCCTGCTGAGAGGTCCCATCGATTCCATCGAATTGGATTTCACTTAGGGGATGTACCACGGACTCAAAAACATATTTTAAGAAATTTGATTCCCCCACCTCCCCCCAATTTTCAGCAAAATGTAGAGAAATTACCCCAATTAGCTCCCACCTGCCAAAATCATCAAAAAACCTGGATAATGTGACTTTCTGACATTTTATCTATATCGGGGGATGTCTCTGACCGATTTTGCGTAGATTAGGACAATTCGCTTGTTAAAAGATTTTTCCGATGTGAAAATCTCCTCATTTTTAAAAAGAATCCTGCTCACTTTTTTGAAGCGTACCGCTTGAGGTGACTCCTGCATTTATTTAATCTGGCTTTCCTTTGGGGTACGATCAGGATGTAGCAAGTACCACATTTCAAAGCCTTAAGCCTAAGCTTCAATTTGAGCACTCATTGGATAATTTGCGTCGACACTGTCAGCAGTGAGCCCGGTTTCCGTTGGAATTTCGTGAATTTCTTCGGATTCCAGGCTTGAGAGGCTTCACGATGGGTGTGGTCCTTGGAGGTTTTCAAAAAATTCTTCTTCGACTGTTCTTAGTCGATTCGGTCCCCATGAATGTTTTTATAGTCCGTTGGGCTAAATTAAAGTACACCTTTGACTTTTTCAGCACATGTCAAATTCACTGTTTTTCTTCGATTTTTTTTTGTGAAAAACTATCGCCGCCCGCTTCTCTTCAATTTCCTGTATATTCATCCAGATGTTCAAAAATTACAAAGTCCATAGTGAATCATAATGTAAATCGCATGGCGAATCTAATGCACTTATCGGATTTTAATTCTGTGGCTTAGTTTTCTAGCAATCACTGTTGACACTGGCTGTTGACACTTGAGTGTTCCCGACTATGTATGTATATGGGTTTCATCAGTAAATTTAAATAAAAATACGACAAATACCGAGCACACTACTGAGATAACTCCTACCATCCTGGCACAAGTTAATAATTAAATACGTACATCTTTTTATCCATACAGCAACCAGCTACTTTATAGGCACCGATAAGACCGTCTACCCATTCGAATCGTACAGCGCGACTGTGGGGTCCACCTATTGGAACAGCGGTTTGGACCGTGAAGATCAAAAATTTAAAGTATCTAACACTACAGATCGTTGTTACTATCTAACGTGGTGGCCACGTTGGGTATGTTCATAACCTTTGTAACGCAAATTTTTTTATATACAGGGTGGTTAAAATGTCACGCTACAATGGGAAATTTTTCGATGAGAAAAATTCGCAAATTTCCATTAATTACCGAAATTTTGTCTCTAAAATTCAATATTTTAAGAATTTCGTCATCAGTTTTCCATCAGTTTTGATAAGAATTATAAAAATCTCAAGCCAAAATCTAACTAATGGAGATTTAGGGGTTTTCCCATTGAAAAATTTTCCATTGTAGCGTGACATTGTAACCACCCTGTATGTACCACTCACCCCCTATTAACGTGTCCCATAGGCACTCTATCATTGGACCCTGACCACCCAATCACCCCTCTTTGCGTTATAAAGTTTGCGAACGTCCCCGTAGATAACTAAGTAATTACATAGGATTGTTGTTATACATATTCTAGATTAGTCACATATCTGTCTACCCTGGATACACTGTGGACCACTGGACAAAAAGAAAAAACAATCAAATTATTTTCCATCTCGATCGACCGGTCAACATTTCCAGAAATGTTCACCCCATTTGCCTCCCACTGAAAGCAGGATCATTTAACCAAGCCGAAATTTTCGACTGGACTAATAATAAACCTTTTTTACTGACCGGGTGGCAAAAGGATTCCAATTTCCAAGTCTACCAAAACCTTAGTATCCAGAACCAGACATATTGCAGATCAAGGTGGGAAAAAACTTCGACCAAATCGGTTTATGAAAATCGGTTTTGTGCGACGGTTGATCAAGGTTAGCTTTCTGAATTTTGGTTGGAAATGGCTATTCACTCGTGTGGGAGAAATTTACAGATTTTGATTTCCAATTCAAGCTATGTATCCGCAATTTTATGCAGTTCTTGCACTAAATGTTAGCCCTTCACCTTTGTTGAGTTTAAGACGGTTCATATTTAACCCCAACCAATTTCATGAGGCGGTCTAAAACAACTTGAATGTGGACTCGTTGCGTTTGTAGTGGACTTTAGACATGAGAAATATTAAAATTGCTTAAATAATCGAAGTGAATAACCGTTCAATTTCTCTACAGTAGATGTTTTATACTTAGGCCCAATTCTTCGTAAAAAACGCGCACAAAATTAGGTCTAATTTTAATTCACATACCATAATCAGATAATCACGTAGTACATACCTACATGAATACTCAACTTAAACTAATAATTTGATGTGTTTTACTAATAAATTTATGTAGATAATAAAGCACAGAGCTGTATCTGGGCAGATGTCGGTGCTGTCAGAATGGTCAATGGGTCATACTTTTTCATCGGTCAAACCAACGATTATCTTAGCAGCAATGGCTCCGGAGTCTGTCGCCCTGGTGCCGTCTACTATTTCTTCTTGTGGTCTGAACCTGTCTTAAAATGGATTCGAAATAATGAACGGTATTTAAATATAAATGGTGCATAGTCGTGCATACTCGTGACAACCTTCGGGAAATTCGCAAATCACGAAAATTGAAAACTTACATATCTTATGATTTGCATACTTACGTAACTGTTTATGTTTCTTTTCTGTTTATGTTTATGTTTAACTTTCTGAATAGTTTGACGTGAGTATATTTAGTCACAAAGCTGATAAACTAGTATGATGCATATGCTTAATGTCGCAAGATATTTTATAGCATCTCAAAAACTGTACGGTATTCGGTACAAACTTTAGTCAAGGTAAATACACTAATTTCATTGCAAGCCTTCTAAATTCCAGACTTTTTTCGGCAGGTGCGGCTCAGACCGTTTTACCTGCGACGATGGGAAATGTCTCCCTTTAACGAAACTCTGCAATCGTGGCGGTGATTGCAGAGATGGCACTGACGAAAACGAAGTTTTCTGCTCGCGTCTGTACAAATGCAAAGAAGGCGAATTTTTCTGCCAAGCGAAGTCGACATGTGTTCCACTTGCTGATGGGGTGGCGCACTGTGAAGAGGAAAGAGACGAAAATAGTCACCCCACCCACAGTAGACTTTCCATCTTAATCATGTTCTTCATCCTGGTTCTTTTTGTCGTCGCTGCTACAGTTCTGCATTTTATGCATCGTAGAAGACAAAAAATTGTCGTCGTGAAGCGAAATGGTACAAGTGTATTTCTTATTGTTCCTTATTTTGATACCGAGTAATTATCAGTGCTGTTCATGCCAAAGTTGTCGATTGAGAAACCATGAGGAAACATAAAGTTGTCCCATTCAATCTTAGCAAATATGTATGTATGAGATTCAATAACACGGTGTCACGTTTTTCAACATTTTCATTCGACAACTCTTACACTCTTAGAAATCCAGTATTAAAATAATACCAAGCGGTATTCATACATATGTATATAACTCCAACAAAGTTGTATTGATAAGTGCATAATACTGTGTGGTAAAAGCTCGGTATTTAATTTTTACCCTGTACAATGCGGTTGCAACTTTAATATCAAAAAATTATAGACGGTCTTTACCAGGTTTCTAACAGTGTATGTACGTTCGTAACTAGTTTCTCATCCGAAAACTTTTACACGAACAGCAGCGATACTGATACACCATTTTCCTTTTTACGTACAGAGCCATCAGTCGAATTCAGAAAAAGGTTTTCCCAAATTGATACCGACCATACCAACGAGAGTACTCAAGTCATAGCAAAACCTTGGATGACGGACGAGTCTCTACAATGCATGGACCTCTTGGGTGAAGGATCTTTTGGAAAAGTGTACAAAGTTTACGATCCCAATGACTTTGTCTACCCGTACATCGCCGTCAAGTGTGTCGACGTTCGAAAAACGCTCATTCTCAGTTGTGCATCCGCCAGTTCTTCTACAAATGCACCCAGCAGTTCTGCGACTGCATCCAATTCCACTCGGAACACAAATTTGCTGCCCAAACTTTTGAACGAAATACTTGTTCAGAGCAAACTCCAAGACAGGAATGTCGTGCGGTACATCAATTACTGGGTGGAAGCGGAGGGTCGCAATCCCGAAAAATTAAACAGTATTGAGCTTCACGCCTATGTTCTAAAATTACTGGAAGAAAGTTACAGTTTGGCATGGTGCAATTTTTATCCAAGTAGTAATATTTTCATTAAAATGGAACTTTGTCACTTTACTTTGAAATCATTCCTGGCCTACGCACAAATCCCCAGCGTGGTTAATGGACATGCCGCCGTTATTTTTAAAGATATCACTACTGGTTTGAAACACATCCACGGGGAAGGTTTTATACATCGAGATTTGAAACCGGGGAATATTTTTTGTCAGAAAAATCCGGATGGTGTTTGTATCTGGAAAATCGGGGATTTTGGTTTAACCACCGAACTCAATAGGCACGCTGGTGGTAACACTGGACAAGTCGGTACGGAACGTTACCGGAGTCCTGAAATGTGGCGGGGTTCTCGTTACACGACAAAAACGGATATGTACAGTTTGGGGGTGGTCTTCCTGGAATTAGTGAAACGCGGCGGGGAAGAGTATGAGATGTTTCGAGTGGTTGAAAGGCTAAGGCTGGTTCGAAATTCGGAACGGTCATTGTATCTGAAGGGACTTGTACAGGCCAAATTTTCCGTTTGGGTCAAAGTAATTGCGAAGTTGGTGGAGCTTGATCAGACAAAGAGGTTGGACTGCGACGAGTTGCAGGTCATGTTAGGTAATGTAAATTACTGATTTTTATTATGGGTGGTCCATAAAATACGAAGCAAGATGCATATCGTACCAATTATCAATATTATAAGGGGCCTCGACCTCGTGTTCAAAACCCGGTGTCTTGAACCAACCATTATCATTTTCTTATTCATGTTAAAGTATAAGAATTATTTTTAACAATTCATTATTGTTTTTGCGAAAAAATTGGAAAGTATGTAGCCTTGTTTCCAAAATTGCTAATGACGTTCAAAATTGTGATTGAAATATGTGTAGTAAATAAGCAGAATTTTTAATAATTTGTTACAAAGCTGTATTGAGACGTTTTTATTTCCCATTCTACACTTTTTATACCAGATAATTTTAGATGTTTTTAACTCTCCGTTCTTCCAAAATAGTATGCATCCATGTTAATGAGCTAGACGTAACAATGTTAAAAATTATGGCTCGCTTCAGGATGGGAACAAGTCCTTTGTAAAATCCTGGTATTCCATCCGTTGTTAACGTGTGGGTTACGACTTGTTTGGTAGATTTCGTGGTACCGTCAGGTGCTACAAATTTAAGCATATATTTATGCATATGGACGGTTAGATATTCTGCAAAATTTGAAATACTAACCTGTCTGAATAATAGTTTTGACAGTGTCGATAGGTAAAATTGCAGCCATCACTAGCATACCACACAAACAACGAGTAATTATTGCTCGAGTCTGACTCATTTTCCCACTGGATGGCGTCATCATTGCAGTAATTGTGTCACACGTCCCAATGCATATATACGCCAGCTTGCGTAATTCCTCGCACATACGTGATTCCAATCCCTTTATACAAGTTACGAATTCCACCCGTACGCCATAGTTGCTTAACACAGTCCCATTATTGTAGTGGCGATGCGTTGTTCCAACGGCTTGGATTTGCAAGATGGATTTTATCCTTTCAGCCGGTGCCATTAAAAGAGTTGTCAGCCCACCCGATATACTTGTGGCGACTGACCAATTAGAAAAGCTAAAGGCCCCTTCGGTGGATGGGAGCATGCGTTCTGCTATAATTTTCCCAATATCAATGCCAATAAATCCCAGACAAAATGTGGGTGCTTGGCCCAGTAAGGTTATTGTGACTCCTGTGGTATTTACATACACAACTGCAGAATTTATCGGAACTAGGGATCAAAATAGCTGGCAGCAACCTTTAAACAATCCTTGTGCTCCTTCGTGTCGGACCGTTTTTATCAGGCAATCCAAGGAGCTGGAGTACAAGGCAGGGTAATAAGGTTTATGTGATGCTTTTGCGGTAAGGGATTTACGCCCCAGAATTTGAAGTCTTGTCTGTTGCGTTACGAATACAAGTAGATTGTATACTTACAGCCAGTCATTTAATTTGTGCATATATGTACCGCAAACCTTTAAAGTGTCGAACGGGTAGCCAACAATTATTCCGGTGGTAACGGCAATAGCACTGCAGGCTAGTTTATTGGAATCAGTACTCATCTTGTTCTGTATTCTTGGATGTTGAAAATGAATTACTAATTTTGACACATTTCGATATTAAAATCAGTGTTACATACATATGTAGGGGGGACAAAAAGCGAACTATACTTGAGGCGTTTAAACTGAGCCATCTATCCTTATCTTACTGATGGCCAAAATCGCCGATCTGATGGTAAGGCTTTTGAGTATAAATCGCTAGTATAAGTGTTATTAAAAGGGTGTGACAATTATGGCTTGGAAATTTTGAACACATAAATTCCTGACACATTTATTTAAATCCGACATATACACAAATGCATAGCCACACCTAATTTTTTGGGTAATCTATTATGATTTTTTTTAGGATTTTCGCTTCTAGGATACTAACTTACTTCCTTTGAAGTATGTATTTTGAGAGGAACGTCAGCTATCATTCACTGTGAATTTTTCAATTGTGTGTTAACACTAAAATCCGTTTTTACAATGATTCGTTCAAAACCAAATGAATATTAATTTAATACAAAAATTCCACTTAAAAGTTGCTGTTATCTATCTTGGACACCTTATCTCTGGAATTACGTCAATGGAATTGAATAGAATGAGAAATGATAATTGTGTTGGTGTTTTGAGATGGAGTGATAATTTATGTGTGAATGGTATGGTTCACTTATCAAATGAATAGGCAGGGAACAAACTGGATTTACTAATTTAAAATTGATGTGTTTACTTGGTCAAATGGGATTTAAGTTTATACAGTAGAATTATTTCAGATCATATGAAAGAATAGCCAATTGAGAGAATAGTGTTGACTGGTCGGAAGCTAAATCATGACTCTCCGACACACTTGCTAGTTAGTGGTTCGGAAGTCCCGAACCGAACCGAACCCGGTTCGGTTTGTGGTTCGGTTCGGTGAGTTTAAGAAAAAAAATTGGTTCGGTTCGGTTCTGGTCGGAAAATTTTTAAAAAATTGCTGGTTCGGTTCGGTTCGGTTCGGAATTTTTTTTAATTGCTGGTTCGGTTCGGTTCGGGAAATTTTTAAAAAACTGTAGGTTCGGTTCGGTTCGATTAAATGAGACTGTCCAACTACTCCTGTATATTATTTATTATACAACCCTGGACGTCATTGCTCATTGCTAATAAGATCGCAATGATGACGTCGAGTGTTTTTCATCATAAAGAACAATATTAGATGGTTTTTCTGATGCTGCCCCATCTGCTGGGAACAAAATTGGAATATATTGGTTCGGTTCGGGAATTTTTTCTTAATTTACTGGTTCGGGAACTTTCTTAAAAATTGATGGTTCGGTTCGGTTCGGTTCGGGAAAGTTCTTAAACATTGATGGTTCGGTTCGGTTCGGTTCGGCTAATTTTTAAAAAATTATTTTTTCGGTTCGGTTCGGTTCGGCTAATTTTTAAAAAATTATTTTTTCGGTTCGGTTCGGTTCGGCTAATTTTTAAAAAAATATTTTTTCGGTTCGGTTCGGTTCGGCTAATTTTTAAAAAAATATTTTTTCGGTTCGGTTCGGTTCGATTTCCCAAACTAGCAAGTGTGCTCTCCGAGGGAGAGCTCTGTCTTCTCGAATTACAGATTTGTACAAGGAAGGGGGCAGACATGGCATATGACAATCATGACATAAATACTACACGCTTACACGCTTTACATACTCATGGTTAAACATTATTAACAGACATACTGATTACAATTTATTGAGTGCAGAGGTACTCATGAGGTTTAAAAGGTGCAGAGCGTCAGAGGGTCACGGGTCTCCGAGAAATATACTTTTTAAAACTGAGTTCCTCGAAGGGTAGAATCCTTGAAAAATTATGAGTCTGCTAGGGATTGTTTTGTATATGGATATGGATATTGATATACGTGAAAGTTACTTCTGAGGAAAGAAATTTGTCTGATTTGTTTACCTGGGTGGCCTCATCCGTCAAATTCAGGCTCAAACGGATCAAATCTGTTCTATAGTTGTCACATATTTGTAGTGGGTTCTCAAAAGTACTGGTGGTCAATTTTGCGCAAGGTATCGTGTACAATATTTTGCCAAGGGATATCCGTGGACTAATTATCCAGGCATTTTTTACAGCCAAACTAATGGAGTAGAAAATATTTCATTCAGAACTTTGGCTGTAAAAAATTCCTGGATAATTAGTCCACGGTTATCCCTTGGCAAAAAATATCGTGCGCAAAATAGCCCCCAATACTTTTGAGAACCAATATGTAATATTATATCTCGTTCAGGTTGAGGAGCAATTTACATTTACATGCGCAACTTCCCCATGTTGTAATCTCTTTCATAATGTATTCAATAGAACCATTGTATTTAACGATTCAATAATTGAATCGTAAAATGCAATGTTGCAATTAAACTTCGATTGCAACAAGTGATATCTAAATTCGCACGAACACTACATTTTTGATGTTTCGACATATGTATGTACATCTAGACTCTGTCCTTTCTATTTCTCTGCATAAGATTGGCATATGAATATTTGCCACCATTTGACCCACGGAAATTTATATGATTTAAATGAATTTTAAAATGTTAAAAATAAAACTTACATAATTATCATGCTTTGCAATACGAATATGTAAGTATTTCTAACTTGATTATTTTTGAAAATATTTTTTATTTAAATTTTTATTTCTTAGGATAGTCCAATCAAAAATAATTTGGTTTGACTAAAACAAGTTGTATTGATCACTCAATTTAAAGTCCAAGAGCAGCAGCAACATCGATACGTCCGTAACCTAAAATTCACAAAATATTTTCAATACGTCTTCATTGGACATTATCCGGTCTTCACTGGATGTGGCAAGTCAATTGTAGAAAATCTTACCGAAAGCTTGATTTGGGATATCTCCAGGTCCTGGAAGTCCACAATTTCTATCAGCATTGGACAAGGTGGGGTGGGCTGGGGTGGTCGTGAGGGCAGTGAAGATCTGGTCATATCCCCAGGTTGGGTTGGCAGACATGAGAAGAGCGATGGCTCCAGCGGTGTTGGGGGTGGCCTGTATTATCAGGAAATTAAAAAAAATGAGCCAATCTCTCATAAACTAAAGTATTCAGTGCAACCTACCATTGAAGTTCCGGACATGGTGACGTAGTTGTTAGGCCCAGTCCCGCACGACACGATGTTGTTTCCTGGTGCGGAGACTTCTGGTTTGAGTGCCCCTTGTGCGTTGGGTCCTCGGGGGAGAAGGTCGCCATGGCGTCGGTGGTAGTGGTGGCACCGACGGAGATAAGGTTGGGTTGATCTCCGGGGGACCCGACCGTCCTGCAGTTTGCCCCTGAGCCTCCGATCGCGAAAACTGGGATGATCCCAGCCGATCGCCACGCAGAGATGACAGAGTTGTAAAATGCATTCCCAGCACCACCACCCCACGAGTTGGAGACGATGTTTGGTCTCGGGTTGGCCGACAAGACCCATGGGCCGCAGGAGATGAGGTTAGCTTCTGTTCCAGATCCTTGGTGGTTAAGTCCACGGCAGGCGACCCATTGGGCAGCAGGGGCAACACCGACACCGTTGGCACGTCCGAGGACGGTTCCCGCGCAGTGAGATCCGTGTCCTTGTTGGTCAGTTGGTCCGGCAGTGTTGTAGTACGGGTATTCACTCCGGTGTCGATGATGCAAACGACGGTACCTTCACCTTGGGTACGCGCCCAGGCTTCGGGTGCCCTGATTTTGGCAACGCCCCATTGCGGGTTCTGGGTAGCGTTGGTCGCCTCAGCAATGGATGGGCTCATTCGGACGGTGACTTCCTTGCGGAGGGTGAATTCTCCGGGGGTGGCGGCCAAGGAGGCGAGAGTCTCGGGGGTCAAACCCTTGACGAGGATGATGTTGGATCCCCAGGACCCAGATTTACTAAGAAATATTCTTGGTCTGTAGACATTCTATAGACAAAATCCAATTCACTAACTCGGTTTAAACCTGTCTTAAGACAAAATCTAACAAAATTTGAGCCCAAGACAAAATTTAGACCGAGTTAGTGAATAGGTCAATTCATTAGCAAAAAGTTAGACCAAAGCCAGCCCAAAGTTATCCCAAATCTCAAACCTCCTCCGGAGTTGTCTAACTTTGAGATTTGAACTTAGTTTGTGTACGTCTGCGAGAGGAATAACACATGTTACCTTTTGTCGTTTTTGTGGAAATAAGATATTTAATTAAATAGTAATTTTAATTGTTGGGTAAATGCCAGATACTTTTCCCCTCTCCTAGTCCTTTGCCAGAGCCTTAACAGCCAGTGCAGTGACAACCCCTTCGATTCTTAGAGGAAGAAAGACATGTTGTTCGGCAGAGAAAGAAACTGGAATAATTAAGTGACTTCGAAGTTGGTAAACATTTTGGACTACCCCCGTGGGGAGCAGAATCTATTTGTGAGGTTTTTAAGCCTTTAGAATGGCAAAGGTCAACCTCGATTCCGTTCTAAACCTTCCTCCACATGGAGCCAAAACAACTAACATTAAAACGAAAGTTAAGTTTCGAAGAGGGGACACAAAGTTGATGCGAGTCAAATATGCGGGATATTGCTCGCAAGGAAGTGGAACTTACACAAGGTGAATGAATAACTCATCTCCGCGGATTAAGTAGGTGTTTAATTTTATAACGAATTTGTTTCTCTATTTACAGCAAAACATATAGGAACTCAGCAAGCCGATGCATTGGATTAAGCCAGCGCCGTGAGGCCAGCGTCAATGTGGTGAAGATAATGTAGATTTTAACAAACAAATATTTACATAATTAGTCATTTTAATAGTTACATGCATATCGGATAGTTCTTCCCTGTCCAATTTTTTTGACAGAGCCCTAATAGCAGTGCGATGGCCACATAGTCGTGTATATACGTATGAAATGTGTGATGGGACACGTTGGAATTATTGACTTTAAATCGATGAATTTCGGTATGCGAACATAAGTACCATATATCATAAATTGAAAGATTGTCGACACTTATAATCAATATGCACTTGATTTTGCATGCTCAGTGGCCGGGAAGCAATGACGATAGGAATCATACCAGCGTTGGAGAACATCTTAAGATTTTAAAAGAAATTTGGCGTAAGTTGTCTCTTGAATGGGTAAAAAATTAAAACATGTGCTGGCAGAATTACCTGCGCTGACATCAAGTAATATTTATCTCTTATAGTAGATTCCGAACCTTTGGAGCCTTGTTGCTGACCCCTTATGCAGATCATAAGCTGAGGAAGATTATAAATTGAGATTTAATAAATTCAAGAAACGAGTAATGTTATGCACGGCACCATCGGTACTTGAAAAATCTGATTCCATTTAATGTCCAAGTATGTAGGTTGACCCATAAAGAACAGTTTTCAGGTCCCAGTGATAAACGTATTATAAGCAGGAGGGGAGGTACATCGTGTTACCAAGAATAAAAAGGACATCCCGCTCGCAGATGACGACGAACCAACCGACGGACTAGGAGAGGGACGAGATCATTAATGTTTACCACAATCAAATTTAAGGTAAATATTTTTTGGCCAGAGCATTAGCCAGTGCTAGAAAATTGCAATGGCAATGACAATGACAATTTTCTTCTTAATTATATTAGAATGCAAAATTCATTCATGGAGGAGACTTAATTCATATCTAACAAATGGTATTTTGCTTTTCAGCCTAAAGTTTGAATGGATGGAGTAGCGCTGGCCTCACGTAAGACGCTGGCTCATTTGGAACAAACATCACATCAATTTAAGAGAAATTGTAATACCGGATCGCACAGACGACACTATTAAAACCTCAGCAACGCAATAATTCTCTTTGATACATCTGAAATAACGAAATTTAAGCGAGATGAACAACTCTTATCCACAGGCTTCATTGGTGTTTAATTTAATGACGGCTTTATTTGTTTATTTGTCATTGTGTTGCAGCCAAATATAAATTACGACAAATACGACAGGAAATCAGCACGACGATATATTGGATTCTTCCGGCGTCGTTAGACCAGCGCCATAAGGCCAGAGTCGATGTAGAGAAGAGGGTCGATAGTTTAGATTTCAAATACTTTAAATATGCGTTAAATCTATCATAAATAGTTGTACAAATGTTTATTCTAATTTGCAAAATTAAAAGATAGAACTCAAAAATCCATGTTCTTTAAATTTTATTCTACTTTATTTTAATCAGCCCAAAAAAATGTCGTCGTTAAACGTTAAATAACAAGTGGTGGTAAGGAAAGGAGAGAGACCTGACATGCTTTTAAAATGTCAACAAAAACAAATATTCGACCGAGTGTTGTTGTGAGAGAAAGTGAGATGGTCGGTGGTGGATAAATTATATATCCCACGCAGGCTGGGCAGACTTTAGTCTCTCCCGCCTTTTGAAATCGTTCTTAAAACCGTCTTAAGCTTAAGACCATCAAACACCGATTTGAAAAAAGTGCTGAATTGGGGGTAAAACCGATCTTAAGATCGGTCTTAGACAGTCTTAAGCTTAAGCCGAAGTTTCGGTCTAAGTTACTGAATCTGGGTCCAGTAGGTTTGGGTCTCGAGGCCGAGGGAAGAAGCGATTTGGACGAAGGGGGCCTGAGCAGCGGAGGTGAGTCCTTGCAACGTGGCGACGAGGGCGGACACCTTGGCGTCACCGGAAAGGGAGGAGAGCGATCGACTGGCCTCGACCTGGTCCATGACCTGGGGTAGTTCGAGAATCGCCTCGGTGGCGCCTTCTTGAATGGCGCGGCTGATGGCGGGGTCGACAGTGCCGGCGGCAACGACTGCCAAGGTAGCAGCGAGAACGAGAGGCAACTTCATGGTGGAACTGAGGAGTGGAGGGAAATACGATTGGATTGCTGTTTCTGGAGCGGTGTAAAGAAGTGGGGAATTTGGAGCGCTCTTATATGAGAAAGATTAGCATGATAAGATGTATGTATGCAAAGGTTAGTTCGCATAGGAGTAGAATAAATAGAGGTGGTAGTGCTTTGATAAGCGGAGATAAGCGGTTAATCGCTGGTCAATAGGGAAATTCCAGTTTTGCGTACATTATGTAGTTTTTTATCAGTTATTGCAGTTCGTTTCGTCTACTCCATTGATCTGATGAAAGGGAAACGTTAAATCCCGACATGATTGAATACTTACTAAAGATTAGTTAGCATTTAGGTGCACATACATATACATAATGAAACATTTAAGCAGTACGGGTTTTCGATCACAAGTTGATTCGGCAATACGGAATGATCTTCTTGTACGGCTATCGAATTATAATTATGAAGATCTAATTTATGTATGACATAATAAAGCGGGAATACCATCCAATTATGGAAATTCTAGTTTTGTGATTGATCAAGTTGCCACAATTTGATTTATGGCCATCTATTTATGTCCATCTATCTATTAAATTAAAAAGCTAATTCCGACAGATTAGTGAGCAGTAAAGATAAATTTCGTCATGTTTTCATTCGCGATTTTCAACTAAAGAATGTACAGTTTCAAAATGAATGATGGATCTGCTGAATCACCAGCAGAATATCGGTAGTATGTAAATGAATGTATAAGTATGTATGAAACTTCCGAAGTGCTCCCAAGTGGATCACCCGCAACATACATTATGTATGATAATGTACCAATACAGATATATCGGTGCATGTGCAACTCAAGAGTATATTTATGTGTAGCGTATTTATATTTTAGTTTAGTCTTACCTTGTACTACATATATATGTACATACATATTTCTATGAATTGTGACATTTCCCCCGTAAATAACCAATATCCTTGATCCGTCACAGAGGGTATTGCATTACTGATGATTCACATTTGCACTGGCTAGTTTAAGAAAGATGAGAACTACTTACAAATGTACATATTTATCCATATCAACATTGTCGTGGCGTAGAGTGTGGGAAGGGAAATATTAAATAATAAATCCTGTAAGTAAATATGTACGTAAATATTTACTTACTTTCAGGATTTCTGTCGATCTTCCAAGTAAGATTTAAATACGTATTAAGTGCCCAAGTTTAAATATGCATACATTTAAAGATAATGCACAAATGTAACTATGTAATTGCTTGACTGTACTGAGTGGGAATTGAGTTAGGTAAACTTGGGAGGACAAATTGCCGACTTGTCAGTCCCAGATTTTGATGCCCTTTGCATATGTTGGAGTACTACGTGAGTTTACCAAAAGTGTAGGAGGGTTTTACCCCATGGCCCCATTTGCACCCGCCACACCCATCCAAAGGCATGAAAAACAAGAAACAAACCCTTGTTACTTCCTAAGATTGGCCACTATCCCTTCAATTTTTGGGTGCATATTTAGTACCTGTGCTTACGTTAGAAACTTAAAAAAATTTGAATTAGTTTCGTTCGTTTTTGCAAAAGTGATTTTATTTATTATTATCAGTGCTCAATTAGTAAATAAATATCAAGTAGGATTACCTATAGTATTTATCTACTAAAGGTAATTACGGAAATATTTCTTAAATATGTCTTAAGCATATGGATAAACTTTAGTAAAAATTAAATAAATATGTATAGAATAGAATTGTGAACCTGTAGCGTATCCTGTGAAATAAATATATGGATGTGTAGGTTCCAATATTATTTTATCTGGAGTTCCGTACTTAAAGTTATTAAGAGCATCTACGTATTTACTAATGCAATGCATAATAATTATACCTCTACAGCCCCATGAAAAAAAACATTTGCACAGTTTCTATTATAAAACATAATACTTCTAACTTTGTACACTGACCCCCAAGTCTGATAGAGTAATATGCGGACAAACCTTAGTGATGCACTTATCTTCAAAAATTCGTTCCAATCCTACGACAAAATCTTCTTGGTAACTTTTCAAGATTGCGAATTTCTTGGGACATAACCTCCCGGAGAACTCATTTCCAAAATATCCACCTTCTTTAATAAAGAAGTCGGCAAAATTTCGGCTAAGATGCGGGTAAGAAACCATATTCGACATGAGATACATTCTCGATCTGTCCGCAATACTGTTAATTTGTCGCATACAATTTGAAATAGCTTCCCGCCCTATCCTCTTATCTTTAAAGTCAACCCCTATTCTTATCACGCCATGAATATCTTTCAGCTGCCATCCCTCCAAAAGAAAGTGTTCAACGGAAT